TCTTTGGGAATGCATTTTCATACTACGGCCTTGTATTGCTGACAACTGAGTTGAACAATAGGAACAACACGTGCAATCACGCTAAAGCGCAGTCAGATAAGTCTTCTGATGTTGATTACAAAGAAGTCTTCATCACTAGTTTTGCAGGTGAGTTTTCACAGCAATTACAGCAGTGTTTTTATTTTTACAATAAATCTGATTTTGCAATCTCTCCAAGGAAGGTTATTAACACCTAACTTTTATTTGGCTCAAGAGTTTCCGGGGCTCATTGTGTCAGCTCTCATAGTTGATAGGATTGGTCGTAAACTTTCAATGGCGGCTTTGTTCTTTGTGGCCTGCATCTTCCTGCTACCATTGGTAGTTCACCAGTCACCAAGGATAACAACAATTCTTCTCTTCGGTGCTCGAATATGCATCACAGGAACGTTCACTATTGTCTTCATATACGCTCCAGAGGTGAGTCATGGGAATTGAATTTTCACTCCAGAGCCGCCTATTGATTATTGAATTTTTCGCTTTAATATTTCATAATCAAGAACGTTCAGGGAAAAAAAAACAGAGTTTAGCTCACGCCAATTCATTTGGGACAGATTGATCTTTAGTTGGGTTGACGAGAAACTATAGAGAAAAAAATGCAGGATTATTTGTCTGCATTAGAAGTTCTTTTGATGCCACTGAATTAAATTATTTGTTATACATGAGTTTATTCTTTCAGAAAAAAAAAAACTATGCATTGATGATACCCAATACAAATCTGAAATTGAACATCACTGGCTTTTAAGAGCTTTGGTTTAGAAGACTAGGCGACAGGGCCTGTACAATGTCTGTATGTGCATGCTTGGTGTGGATTGAACAGTGAATTCTAAGGGTGTGATGTCAGGATAGGCTGGGGGGGGGGGGGGGGGGATGGATGAGGGAATGAGAAGTGGAGGGATTGGATGTTCACTTTGTTTGTCAAGGACGGGACCTGATCCTTCCAGTACCTTATCACTTGTAATTTTTAATCCTCCTAATTTGAGCGGTTTGACTCTCATCCTTTGCCTCCGTTGTAATTTTCAATGCTCTCAATTTGGATGGATTGATTCACATTATTTCCTTCCCTTGTTAGCCAAACAACTAGATGGATGGTAACCTGTCCATCCTTTCCCTCCCTCATCCTGCTACCACTTTACCCCATCCATCCCTCCTAACAAACACGGCCTAAGGTACTCAACTCAACTGAGCACTTTAAAGTTAGAAGAGTGCTTGTGGCCCGTGTAAATCACTGCAGTTCTTGTGTTAAGTGTAACATCTCACCCTTTGATGTCTGCATTTTTCTTTACTTTCATCCCATTCATGGCAGCAATCTACAAGCAACTTTACATCCAGCACTCAACAGTACGCATGGCTATAGGAATTGAATCTTGAAAGCATCCTCATTTCGCTAAGTTGCTGGCTGCAATAACATGCCTTTTTTTTCCTTCCAGATTTACCCAACATCAGTGAGATCAACAGGTATGGGAGTTGCAAGCGCAATGGGAAGAATCGGGGGAATGATTTGCCCGCTTGTGGCAGTAAGTTTGGTGCAAGGATGCCATCAGACAGCAGCACTTGTTCTTTTTGTGTGCGTCATGTTCGTAGCAGGATGCTGTGTAATGCTGTTTCCACATGAAACCAATGGTCTTGAATTGACCGAGAGTGTATCCAGTACAAAAAATGAAAAAGCCCAGGCTGTGAAGCAACAAGAGCCTTGATCTCTCAGTCATCATGTCAAGTGCTAGGTTGAAGTTGTCCATAATATTAAAAACGGTCAGACCATTGCTGTGTGTACAATCGCTTGTATTTTTACGTAGACACTCGCTGTATGTAAAATGTTTGAAGTGTGATGATAGTACAATCACTGGAATTTGGAAAGTACATTGTCTTCTCTTTCTGTTTAGCATATTCTACTTTACCTTTTATTTTTATAAAAAATGTCATAAAAATCTAAGATTTAAAAGAATTAGTGCTACTACATACCAAGAAAATTTAAAAAATTTAGTGCTACTACATACCAAGAAAATTGAGTTTTATTGAAGGATCTATTAGCTTTGGATCCCAGGACTTGTTAAAATTGAGCCTTAGCACAATGCACAAAAGAATTGAATCCTTAGCTTGAGATCTAGACACCGAACTTAAAAAAATTAAAAAAATTAAATCAATCCTTAGCTTGAGATCTAGACACCGAACTTAAAAAAATTAAATATTAATGCAATACTTATTAGCCTTGGATTATTAACTTTGGATTTAAATACCGAATCCATTAAATAGGTCCTACATGCATTGCTCTTTTTGTTTGGCATGTATTTAGATAATTGTCATGTGATACTCGAGTTAAAAACAATTTTAACATAAAAAAATATTTAATTGTTATTAATTATATGAGAGTTTAGTTGATATAACTTGGTTAACTATACTAGTTCAAAAATAACTTATATATCTTATTAAAATAAAATTTGATTAAATAAAATTTTAAAATGATATATTTTTTAATATTAAAATAATGATATATTAGATTAATTTAAGATAACTTGATTAACATGTTAAGTCTATGATTTAGGTTACGAGACCAATAAATTTATAAAAAATAAATTCTAAAATTTAATTCTCAATTAATATAATATTAAAGAATAGAATTGAAAAAAATCAATTAAAAAAATTTAAAAAACAACTCTAATTAATATGTTAAAATTGTAATTTGAATTATAAAATCAAGATAATTTCATGAAAGCAAATCAAAATAAATAATAAATTTTAATTCTTGTTAAATATTAAAGGATAAAATTTAATGTTAAAAAATAAAAATATTAATTAAAAGATAAAATATAACAATGTTTTAATTAATATTGCAAGGGGTACAACACCCACCTTCTTTATTAGTTTATAGTTAATGTAAGAATATCAGTTCACAGAGCCATGATCTTTTTTATGTCCCATCTGACTAGCTACACTGCAGAACGATGATGATATGATTGGAAATATAGTTTTTATTTAAAAATATATTAAAAATATATATTTTTTATTTTTTTAAAATTATTTTTAACATTAACATATTAGAGTAATTTAAAAAATAAAAAAATGTTAATTTAAAATCAAAAATAAAAATTTTAAAATATTTTTAAAATTAAAAAATAAAGATTACAATAATTTTCAGAACACGTGCCAATCATGAGACTCCATCATGTAGCTTATTATGTTGGATCTTCGTTACTGTTCCTTGAAGGGTTTTTTTTTTGGGTTGGTCTATATACTGTTTATCAAGTGGTAATTATGACGAGGAGGTTTGAAACCTCTAATGAGGCCAGAGTCTCTCGTCCAAACGAGTACAGTGAGTGTGTGTGTGTATATATATATATATATATATTCACAATAACACGGCTGACAAAAAAATTTCTCAAACAAGCAATTTTTTTCACAATGGAAGATATTTTCTTCCGAACTAGCGTTGCTTGAGCAAACCAGTTAAGCTCCTGATGCCTGTAATACAGCAAAGAAGATCCAGAGACAGACAAGTGTCAGTGTGAGTAAACACCATGCATTCATAGAGACAGACAAGTACAGGTACTTTAGGGTCGAGGTAGACACCAGTCACAGAAATAGAGGACCAGCTTCAAATTTTATTTCCATATTTTTATATATTTTTCCCATTTTGTTGTTGCGATTGCATTGGAAGCCTGGCAGTTTTTCTAGGAATCTGGTCGCATGAAATTGCATCATTCAATGTTATAGCGGATGAGCAAATTAAGAAAACAAAATACACTGAAACCCTACCTACCTATCGATAATCACATCTCATTTCAGTCTGCAAACCCTACAAAGAAGAGGGAATCTTTTTCTTGGATCATCTGCATGTATAATCTCTGATAAGGTCTGTTTTCTCTATCTCCATGAACACCCCATTTTGTGCTTTGTTATTTTCGTTCTCAGCCCACCTGATGTTTTGGATTATTTCTTGTTTATCCTTTCGTGCTTTTCAAATTTCAGGATGTTGGTGCTTTCATGATGGGTTTTGTTTGGTTTCTTGTTGAATGAAAATCCATTCATATTGATGTTCGGTTCTCTTTGATATTAATTAACTCTTGCTTTGATTGTGTTTGAAACAACAAATAAATCTCTGGTGGATCCAATCAAGAAACTCATTGTTTTTGGCACAATAACTTATCATCAGCGGCTAATCCTAACCAGTACGTGAAGGAGAGAGTGGATTCATAATACCTGCATCTCTGTCAAATCCCAACATTCTTCGGCAGATAAGGTGAGATGGAACAAAAACACGTACCACTTTATATTGAAATGAACAGTAACCTGTAAGTCATAGGATTCATACTCGAATCGAGTCAACAAATCATGCTAGGCTAGACACTAGTCGGAATTGTTATCACAATGGAAAACATGTACAATTCCACTGCTTAATGCCTCAGTACTTCACCCTTGCACTGTCTCAGAGTCTTCTCTACTCTTGGAGAGGGAACTTGAATGGAAATAAAGCTTATAGAAGCAAGCTATTCAGCTAGCAAGTTATGGAGAGCATCAGTCAAGCAGAGAGATAGCTAAATTAGAGAAAAGTTCTCTAGCCTATGCTTGAGACTAATAAATTTATAGCTAAAACTTTGGCCCATCAAACAAAAGAATGAAAAAATATTCTGCATGTATGGCCCTTGATTATCTCTACCTAACCATTCCACTATGAGTGGTCTTTCAACACAGAAGGTACTGTCTTGAAATGACAGCTTATACATGTAATCAATGCACTCATACATGTAATCAATGCACTCATAGTGGAGTTCGTCATGATAACATGGACAGTATTGTAACTCTTTCCTAGCAATTATTTTTTATTTTATATATATATATATTATTTTTTTAAAATTATTTTTAATATTCATATATCAGAATGATTTGGAAAAAAATAAATTATTTTTAATATTCATATATCAAAATGATTTGGAAAAAAAATAAAATTTTAAAAAGATTATTATTTTTTTAAATTTTCATCGACATTGTTTTTGAACGTGAACAGAGCCGCCATGGCTTTGATTCTGCTGGCGAGTATATTGGCCATCCATGTAGGTATCCAGGATTCAAGCCTTACTGGCTCCGATTTTGGTGCTTGGGACTATTTGACCCTTCTGGGCCCTCCCATAGACCAATAAAAACTGAAGTTTTCAGGGGACTAACAGCATCTGTTCGCCCACGATTATCAACTCCTTCACAGTGTTACGCTTTTTGCGGTAGTTGAAACAGTACATGATATTGCAGGATCGTTCATTTGGCTAAAGATCATAGTCGCTCTTGATCTATTTAGTTCTAAGCTGTTTTCACTCATACAAGCAGCAAAATTAACTTGTACTTGATTTGGGTAGCTTATTTGCTTTACATTTTCAGATGGCGGATGGAGGTCCAAGGTATACAGTTGATGAAGCTCTTGTCACCGTGGGTTTTGGGAAATTCCAATTCCTTGTGCTACTCTATGCTGGGATGGGTTGGGTTTCGGAGGCGATGGAGGTTATGATTCTCTCGTTTGTTGGACCAGCAGTTCATTCGAAATGGGGTCTTACTTCTCGCGAGGAAAGCCTCATAACCACTGTGGTTTTTGCTGGCATGCTGGTTGGAGCATATACATGGGGCGTAATCTCAGACAAATATGGAAGGAGGTGCCTTCCTCTTCTTCTTTTCTATACGCAACCCCCCCTTTTTTTTTACTTAATAGACAAAACAATATGAAAATAATTATATAAACAATATGAAAATAATTATATAACCATCTTGAAGATGATTCTGCAATCATCCTGGTGGATCACTTCTTTCCATCTGTAGAGAGGGTCTCATGATGTGTGTGTTTTACTCCCTTGTCTGTCGGAGATAGGTGATATATTAAGCCAAAATACTCATGATTGGAAGTTGGAAGTAGATATTTGAGTTGTTTCCTCTAAAGTTGTTGAGTGACCTTTCATAACAAAGGAATAGAAGGAACCCTAGAAGATCAGGATGGAAAAGAAGGTTATATATTACAATTTCCAGCCACCATGATCTAGCAACCGTGGTTTTTGTGACTCTTATTTCTTGTTAAACACATATACGTGCTAACTGCTGTTATTTTGGGAATTTTTTTATGTACATGTATATATTTTAGTCTCTGAAATGTGTTTTTTGTTATTTTTTATTCCTTCAGGAAAGGATTTTTTGTTACAGCAATAATGACATCAGTCGCTGGTTTTCTTAGTGCCTTTGCCCCGAACTACATCGCGTTGCTTATTTCCCGTTGCTTGGTTGGCTTTGGGATTGGGGGCGGTCCTGTGCTCTTAGCATGGTTTCTAGAGTTTGTACCTGCACCAAACAGAGGCACTTGGATGGTGGTTTTCTCAGCATTCTGGACCGTCGGAACAATTTTTGAGGGTGGTCTGGCCTGGGTATGCTAATGATTTCTTGATTGTTTTATGGTCTTACATCTTGGTGGAAAATTATTGAACAGTGGACATCCTTCAACGATCCATGCCATGCCATGCCTTCTTTCTTTCTTTGTAGTGTCTGATTGTTATAAAATATATAGGGCCCTAAAAAATGGGAACTCTCATGCTTTTTAGCATCTCCTCCTAGAATTGATATATATCGATCCTTGAATATCGTCATTTTCGATATTTATTTTGTCTCCATCATGGTTTGACCCCCCCCCCCCCCCCCCCCCTCCAATAAAGGCCACATGGTAGTTGTTTCTGGTTCTAGGGCTGCATTTGTTGATGATAATCTTATGATCGGTGTCTTTTTTCTTTTTTTTTTGATGATAATCTTATGATCGGTGTCTTTTTTTTTTCTTCATATATTTGCAGATTATCATGCCAAGATTAGGTTGGAGGTGGCTACTTGCTCTGTCTGCTCTGCCCTCATTCCTCCTCCTTGTATTTTATACTTTGACACCTGAGTCACCAAGGTATTTATGCTTGAAAGGTCGAAAAAATGAAGCACTTGTTATTTTGAAGAAAATTGCCAAACTAAATGGAAAAGAATTGCCTCCTGGTGTTGTTGTTGCTGGTAACGAAATTGAGCTGCAAGGAAATAATCATCTACCCGTGAGTAAAGATAAAAATGTGTGTGCCGCACCTCCTCCTCCTCCTCCCAAGCAGAAGGATTCTCGCATGGGGGTCTTCAAATCAGTGCTAATGCTTTTCTCACCAAGATTAGTTAGGTCAACCTTGCTTTTATGGGTGGTAATCTTTGCAAATGCATTTTCATATTATGGCCTCGTGTTGCTGACCACGGAGTTGAACGATAGGAGTAATTCATGCCATCAAACTAAAAAGCAGTCACAAAAGCCTGCTAATATTAATTACAAACAGGTTTTTATCACAAGTTTTGCAGGTACGATTTCATACTTATTAGAAAAATGTTTGTACTTGTATGGTAAAGTTGATTCTTGTACTCTCTTCAAAGAAACTTTGTGACGTTGAACTTTTATTTGGTTCAAGAGTTTCCGGGGCTCATTCTGTCCGCACTCGTAATTGATAGACTTGGTCGTAAACTTTCAATGGCGGCTATGTTCTTTGTTTGTTGCATCTTCCTGCTGCCATTGGTAGTCCATCAGTCTACAGGTGTAACAACAGCACTTCTGTTTGGAGCTCGAACATGCATCACTGGAACATTCACGATTGTTTATATATATGCTCCAGAGGTAAGTTATGCAAATTGAATCTCTTACTCAAGCAGCCTTTTGTTGTTGAATTTTCATTTTGATTGCCTCATAAACAAGAAACACTAGAGAGGAAAGAAGACACTTTTTTAAAGCAGATTGTGTATTTGTGTCAGATTCATGTTGAAAATAGATAAACCATATTGATTATCACCAGAAATCTTTCAGATATAATTGTTATTTGTTAATTCTTTTTTTCCTGTGACAACACAAATCCGTCAAACTGAACACAATGGTTAGATTCTTCATTTTGTTTATCTGTGAAATTTCAGTTACTGATAGGTGATTATAGATGGTAACATATGGTTATTTTTCTTAACCATGCAGCTTTACCCGACCTTTATGCGAACAACCGGCGTCGGGGTTGCAAGCTCAGTGTCAAGAATCGGAGGAATGGTTTGCCCTCTTGTGGCAGTCAGTTTGGTACAAGGATGTCATCAAACTGCAGCAGTTGTTTTCTTTGCGAGTATAGTGTTTGTAGCAGGGATCTGTGTATTGCTCTTTCCATTTGAAACTAAAGGCCTTGATTTGGCTGATAATTTATCTAGTACAAAACAGGAAAAACCCCAAGACTCTGAGACAGGAAGAGCTTTGATCTGAGTAATTCTACTATATTAGGCCGAAGTGTCCATAATGAAATGGGTCACACCATTGCTTGGTCTATGAAGGGTTCTTTTTTCCTTTTCTTCTTCAGGGTTTGCAATCTGCACTTTCTTTGTATATTATACGATCTGTTCACAAATAAATAACCATTGGAGAAAGTATTTTGTTTCACTCCACAGCAATCTCTCCCTATCAATGGAGAGAGAAAATACTGACTTTTTGAGAACCTTGTACCATTTTGATTACAAAGTTTTATTCTTGATCTATGCTACGAAGCAGCAGAGCAACATTATAGCAGTTCATTCATCTAGTTTCAAAGCTCTCTCTGAATGATGCTTGCTTGGTTTCTATATTATAATGAGCATATCAATTCAACAGAGAAAATAACAACAGGAATGAACAGAGAGAAAAGAACACATACACACCAAAGCCTTTCATGTTCATATTGTAAATAACAATATTTAGGTGGAAAATATTTCTTATTTTCTTCAATAATGTTTGATCCTCTCACCGAGTCCACTTGATATTTCAAGCTTTGCCTCCTCCTGTGGTCTCATAGTCTGTAATTAGAACTTGACCATATTCACCTTTCTTTTCCTCTTCTACTTCATCAAAGTAGTCCTCTCTAGCGTTGCTTGTGAGCATTAGGCAAACCAGCCAGAAGAGGGAAGCATCTAAAGCCAAGAAGGCAGCACCACCAAAGAGACCAGTCTTGGCTGTGGGACAATCAGTACTGTCCACGTTATGACGGTGCACAGTTTTTGTCAAGTGAATGAGCTCAGTGGTTGTTGCCCACAGCAGCATCCCTCCAGCCAACATGGACACCGACCTGTTTCCACACCAACAAAAGAATTAATTTATTAGGCATGAATAACTTGACAATATCACAGCAGAAAATAAATCTTGGAAATGATGAGAACTCGTTTGCTTGTACACTTACAGGGCAATTTGGAAGAACACAACCATGCGAGTGCTGTGAAACAAGCCCTTGTAAGGAACAGATTTGCCCTTGTAAGGATAAAATATAGAACAGATTCCAACTAAGGTGCAAGCAATGAGAGCTGCGATCGATAAGAAGCCAAAAAAGAGTGATGGGTCTGGTGGATATTTGCAGGTAACAACTCCATGTGACATGCTAGCCTCTCCAGAAGCAGGCTGCATGCAGGGAATAAGTAGTAGAAAACAACAAGAAGACATGTTCAGAGAAGGAGATTAGCAAATCCTCTTGTCAATTTTGTATTGAATACATCGAAAAAAATATAGAGTTATTACCTTTTTTATTTCAGCAAGAATTCCAAATATAAAGGCTTTGACACCAAGTGCCGCCACTATAATAGCTATGCTCTTGATACTCACAGCCATAATTAACTAGCTCAAGTCCTCAAGCTAACTATTTCAATGGTAAATAAGACACAGAAAGAAGCAGTTTGATACCTGAACATTGATAAAGAAAAAGCAAAAGCACTGCATGGAGTCCTGGTTGCCCTAGGTGTAGTTAATATACCACCTGTCAACTCATCAATCATTGGTATCATCTCCATTTTTGTTAGTTTCCTTGTTTCCCTCATTCTATGGAAAATGACGTTCTTGTCGATCGCCCCCCACCTGAAATAAAAATGGAAACAAGGACAAGCTGTCTACATCGAAGACAGGTGCCTGCAGTGGCACGACACACAGAAGAGAGAGAATAAAAACCATAAGCAAACATCATAATTTGTTTGTTGTTCAGGGCCTTAAGGTCTACAATGCAAATATGTAGGAGGACGTGGTGGTAGCTTGGAACTAGTCAAAGTGATCACTGACGACATAAATAGCAACGCTGCCCAGTTCACTGACGACATAAATAGCAACGCTGCCCGGTGCTATATAACATTTTGATTCTCGCTATCTCAATTAACGAAAGCCACAGCAAATTCAAGCAACACACACCAATTCTTAACCATTAGCAAATCTCAAGCACCGATATTATTATTATTATTATTACTACTATAATTGCCTTTTAGTTTTATTAATTATACCTTCTTGCTAAAGAGATTAAGCATTGTTAATGCTTTAAAAAATATATTTAGCTTGTGTTCTATATTGTATTGCGATAATTTTTAGGATTTATATGATTTTTTTTAAAAAAAACTATGAAATGTAATTTTTTTTAATGGAATTCATGTAAAATTAAGGTATGTATTATTATTATTTCAAAAAAAAAAAGTTTAAATGAAGACTAAGGTAAGAAAGATGAGGAGGATCAAGGTATGGTTTTATGAATCAAAGTCAAAGTCATAAATTTATGATCTGGGCAAGCCCTGAACATATGTAAAAAAAGCTCATAAACTAGATAGGCCTAGAATTGTTGGTGTTGGGATTGGACAGTTTCTAAGACCAAACTCTCAAGGCTATGCTTTTTTTAAAAAAATTAAAATGTTTTTTTTTTTATTTTTTGATATGGATATAAAAAATAAAATTTTAAAAATAAAAAATAAAATTTTAAAATAAAAATATTTTAAAAAATAATCAATACTAAACACTATCAAATTCGATTCCACTTCTCCAACCACCACGTACCCAAATATAGCCCAATCTATGGACTTACCTTAACAGGCAACATTTCTTTTCAACTGTCCAATAAAAACTAATTCATTGCCAAAAAAGAAGACCTAATGTTAAATGTCTACTGTACACTGCTTATATAGATATAGGAAAGCATTATTTTTTATTTTCTCCCTCTCACTCTATATATCCATGTGAAGAAAAAGATGAATACTTCTTTGGTGTTTTGAGCTTGGATTCTGGTGCCCGTTCTGAAGAGATCATCCTCTGATCCATTCATATGGCGGCAACCCAATCACCATCACAACCTGCTCCAGATCGTGTCCCTGCTGGTACTTTTCTCCCTACCCCACTTCTTATCTTTATCATAATTATGTAAAGTTTTGATCTTTATGTTAATTCAAACTCTCCTTTTTGCTGGTTTGAGGGGTCTAAGTCATTTGGAGGATGAATTGGCTTGTGGGTTTTTTTTGTCTTGTTCGTTTGAACATGAAAAAAATCAATCTTTCTTTTGACTTTATGCTGTTTTCTTGGCCTTGTTTTTTAAGGAATCGTCTTTTTTATATGCGGAGAGATTGAAACTTGCATATGTTGATAAATCTGGGCTGTGCTTGGTGTTTTATCTTGAGATCTGAGATCTAGGTTGTGTGAGGTGACCTTAATTATTGCGAATTCTCAGTTTTGCTTGTCATGTTTAGATAATTATTCAGTAGAGTATTTTGGAGTGGAGGTTCAAGAAACTTAGTTGACTTGTTGATATGGTTGCTTTCTGGAATCATGAACCGGTGGTTTCTTGAATTCATGAAAAGAAAAAATGTTTGATACGCTTGAGATTTCAAGGCGATGTCCTGTATTTATGAGATTATTTATTATTGTCAGCTGATGAGATCTTTGACTGATCAAAGCATACTTGTAGTGTATAGAACCTGGTTATTAAATGAGTGGTTGCTCATTGTTTTGTATTATGTACGAAGGTTGCCTGTTTCATTATAGTATCGACTAGATCTCAATGGTTTTCCATTTTGAAAGTATTTTCATGTTCTTATATTTATCATGTGTGCATAGGTGTGAATGTGTGGATTTGTGCGCACATATTCATAGCTTCAAGTTTCAATATCCCCAATTTTAGCTTTGGTTGGTCAATAAATTTGTACTGCCTGTGTTTCTAAGACTCTACTAAGTCACTGAACTTACTAATCATGGATGCAGAAGAGAAACCTGGCGAATCAGATAACATGAAGGAGCAGGTAGTTCTTCTTAAACTTCAATCATTTTTTTTTCTATACTCAAATTTTAATGAAAGTATTTTTTTTAGTAAGAAACCTTATTTGTTAACTTATTTTCAGCCTCTATCGGCAAAAAATGAGACGTCAGTTTCTCCTAATTCCTCACAGGATACTGCCCCTTCAGGTCATCCTAGGGATACCACAAGTCAACTGGGAGCATTTGGTTCTCCTGGAGATCGTTCTGTCTATCCACCTAATATTTATGCTCCTCAGGCACAGGCGTTCTACTACAGAGGTTAGTCTTACAGTCCATTTGGAGGCCCTGAACTTGACAGTCACTGATCATACCTATCATTGATGGCACACAAAAGACACTAAATATTAATTTTTAGAAATCAAATGCATCTAACTGCAACATTCTTGTATTAGTTTCTGATACTTGATATCCTACATGAATTAATCGATGGACCATTTTATTGATGTGGTCAACCAGGTTATGACAGTGCCACCGGTGAATGGGATGAATATCCTCCATATATAAATGCTGAAGGTTTAGAAATCGGGTCTCCTGTAAGCAACCCTCCATCACATCATTTTATTATACAGACTGCCTTTGCTATTGTTCCCTGACATTTTGTCTTAACTAGGGTGTCTACAATGACAATCCTTCTCTTGTTTTCCATGCTGGATATGGATATAATCCACAAATGCCTTATGGGCCATATTCTCCAGTCACCACTCCTTTACCTTCTGTTGGTGGAGATGCACAGTTATACTCCCCTCAGCAATTTCCATTTTCTGGGCCACCTTATTACCAGCATCTAGGCCCTAACATGTCATATATCACTTCACCAACACCAGTTTCACAACCGGAGTTCAATGCATTGGCAAACATCGACCAACAAGGAGATAACAGGCTATTCGGGCCAAGGCCTAGTTATCCTCCTCCAGTAGGATCAATTGGTAGGGGCAGCTTTCCAGGAAACCATGGTTTTCATGATCAACAGCACGGGTTCGATGGATTGAGATCTGGAGGACTTTGGTCAGATTGGTCAAAGCCCTCAGATAGAAATAGGCCTTTGACTCCCTTTTCACCTTCAGTTTCCCCACAGCCTATTGGCAATTTTGTGTCATTTGGGCAGAATGCTGGAATGGTTTGTATTCTTACCCCTCAATTTTTTTTTTTATTAAGAATCTGTTGAGTCACATGATGCTGCTTTCTGTTTCTCATTACGAGATGTTACAGTATATAAGGAATCCATATAGCTAGTTAAGAAAAGGGGTTGTACATTATGGTGCAGATTGTTTTATCCTAGGTCTCTTTTATAAGCCTTGGTAAATGGAAATTTTATCAAGACTTTCAGTTGTGATATATGCAAGATGTGTGTAGCCTAAGCAACACCAATCATGTAAAGGTCCATATTTCTTATTTGCCAATATATGGGTAAATGATTGTTTGAAGGCTCTTGCTTGTTTCATAATAAATCTAGTAGGTCAACCGAATATGTTCTTTAGAATTTGTTACTTGGTATTTTACTAACCTTATCCTTCCTTTCTACCCAAACCTGAAAGATGGCATAAGAGGCCTGATAACAGCCCTTGGTTACTTTGCTTTGCCATGCATTTTCGGTCATGACTGCAAACAGTTTTCATGTTTGATTTGCATGCTTTGCTATTACTGATTACTTAAGTAGGAAGCGATGAGCACCAGGTATCATCATTACAATTGATGAAGCAGATTATGGCTTTTAGTGGTAATGCTAACTGACAAAGTTTTTGCAGGCATCTCAACAACAAAGATCATTTTATGGCCTTGGATCTGGTTCAAACTCCTACAATAGAGCCTATCTGCAGAGTGGTTACAATCAGGGATCTAGTTTTGGAAGTGCATCCATTTCTAGTTTGGGGACTAACAATCGGGGTTGGCTTTCTCTTGAAAACAACAGACGGCGAGGAAGGAGCAGTGTTTCCTTATGTGGCTGCAATGGTAGTCTTGATATCCTTAGTGAGCAAAACAGAGGACCAAGGGCATTAAAGCCTAAGGCCCAAAATACAGCTGAACATGGTCCTTCTGTTGAGAATAATAAACATAGCAAGCCATCTGCCAAGATCCACAATGAGTCATACAACCAACCAGATTTTGTAATTGAATACAAGGATGCTAAGTTCTTCATCATCAAGTCATACAGTGAAGATAACGTTCACAAGAGCATCAAATATGGTGTTTGGGCCAGCACTCCAAATGGGAATAGAAAATTAGACACCACCTATCGTGAAGCTAAGGAGAAGCAAGATCCTTGTCCTGTTTTTCTCTTATTTTCGGTAAATACCTGATTCTTAAGTGCTCACAAAACAGTAACTTGGAAGTTGGAAGGCAGACCAATGCCTTGGGGAAAAAATAAAAGAAAAAACTTGAAATATATCGTTAATCTAGAGAAACATATCTTTTAAATGCATCGGTACATTACTTTTGTTATCACTTGTATCGAATATTGAAGGAAAACTGAAGCTTCTGCAATGTCTTTGTTTTGCCTCTTGAGCTTCTAATTCTTTCTGATTGCTGTTTTTCTGTTATATTCATCTAAAAACAATTATTTTTTCCTCTTAGAGCAGGTGAATGCTATATCTTTGTTATTTCCTCTAAACTTCTAATTTCTTGTTTCTTCTGTAAGTATTTGTTACTCTTGTATGCAGGTGAATGCTAGTGCCCAGTTTTGTGGAGTGGCTGAAATGACTGGACCTGTTGACTTTGACAAGAGTGTGGATTACTGGCAGCAGGACAAGTGGAGCGGGCAGTTCCCTGTCAAATGGCACATTATTAAAGATGTCCCTAACAGTCAGTTTCGTCACATTGTATTGGAAAATAATGACAACAAGCCTGTCACTAACAGTCGAGACACACAGGAGGTAGGAATTCCTTTGGAACTTTGCTAGTTATGGGAATTTCTTAGTGCTCTATCAGAAGTGTTTTTTCAGTCCTTGAAAATCCAATTGGAGGAGAAGCTAGGTGGTTAGTTTATATTGACTCACTTGTGGTTGTTTGTGTGATGTCACAGGCTACGTGTAAGCTTAAATTTTAATGATTATGTGGCTGCTTCTTTTGTAGGAAATTATTTGGTTTTCATTGACATTTCTATAAAAATAGAAACTCCTAAACACCTATTTTTTCAGCTCTGTTGTGCCTAATATCAAGTTTGAATTCTTGCAGGTGAAATTGGAGCAGGGCATTGAGATGTTGAACATCTTTAAGAATTACGAAACTGATATGTCAATCATAGATGATTTTGATTTTTATGAGGACCGACAGAAAGCCATGCAAGAAAGGAAGGCTAGACAGCAAGCCAGCCTGATGGCTGTAGGTGTAGTTGGAGAAAGTGAGCACAGAAATGCAGTTACCTTACCAGCTGATATTATCAAGCAGATGACGAAGAGTTTTGCTCAAGTTGTCTGCCTGGATGAGTCTAGCAAAGAAGGCACTGTTACTGATAGGGTTAGTTCTGGCTCTGATGGTTCTGCAGGCGGTAGAGTTAAATTGGAAGATGGTATCACAACTGTCTCCCCCTCGCAGACCAGTTAGGAAGAAACAAATACTCCAAGATTTGGGCAGGCTCCTGGTAGTGTAAGTGACATGAACTTTGATTCCATCTTCTAGTCTCCCATTGTCTTGTGTGGAGGTGGATAGTCATATCGCAGAATTGATTGGAGTGCATCAATAGCTGGATGACGGGTCTTCTAAGTTTTGCAGGGACAATTCGCTACATGTATAATACATGGTTTTTTGAGTGTTGCGTTGTACTTGTAGTCAGTGTTCCTTTTGTTTTCTTGGTCCTTTACATTGCATTTTGAGCGAGAATAGTTAATGCGGAGATAGTGGTTGACATCTTGCATTTGCAAGAGTAACTCAACTTTGCAGGCAGCTTAATAAGGGAAATATAGCAAAAGATGTTGAAGGAAGAACCTCTTAGTGTTAATGCTTTCTACATAATGAGCTACTAATTTCTGTCTTTCATGTTATTCATCAATTTGTGAAATAATCAATGGCAGTGATACGACACAGCAAAGTTGGTAGTGGTGGCAGCCCGCGCTTGGCATCAGGTAACCCGAGTGGAACAAATGATTTTACATCTCAGTGAAAGGAGGACGAAGACAATGAATAACAAAAAGGAAAGTTGGGAGGACTGATGAAAACAATGAACTAGCTGTTTACTTTGTTTTTAAGCAAAGCATAATCACTTTCTTTCAGTCTGTAGTCTCTTCCTTGTCTAGCAAGATAATGACACTTAATTCAATTTCCAAGATGGACTGATCATCTTGAAGACTTCATCAAAGTATGATCCAAACCTAAACCTTTTCTTAACAATAGTACCTAAAATCCCGCAATGGGGTTGCCTCAGCACTGCCCGAAGTTGTTGGATCATCCCTGTCACCAATAAATTGCTACTTGCCTATGGCCATTGCTAGACAATTGGAGAGGATGGAAATTGTTGGTAATGCTGAGGCTAGTAGCTTATGCATATCCTCTTCTGCATGAACAGGAAAAACACCTTTCTAATAATTTGATATGACTTGGAGAAAGGAGTGGACTGGCCAGATACTCAAGCGATCCCGACATGATTCTCCACTAAAATTAAACACAATAAACTCCGTTCATTTTTCTCAAAAGTGACCAACCACATATTTGCATCAACTAGTTATCAAAACAAACTTTGGTGGATCATCTAAAATCAGACAAAATCTCAACATAGTAGTTGGCAACGCTAGAAATCAACTAATACATTAACAAAATAATAATAATAAAAAACATGACACCTAAACTGTCATCCTCATGATCTTCTTAGGCAATGTTTATGAGTGTGGAGGTATTTTGATAGTATTTATTTTTTAAAGTATTTTTTATTTAAAAATATATTAAAATAATTTTATTTTTAGTTTTTAAGATTATTTTTGAAATTACTATATAAAATAATTTAAAAATACACAAAGATTAATTTTAAATATATTTTTTAATTTTTTTATAAAATACCGTTTTAAACGCAGTTCTAATCAGAGACTTAATTTTCTAATATCCTGCTCATAATTTATCTGATTCTTTGAATCTTTTCAACTTTTCATATGAAAAGGGTAGTGAGAGTTACCACCAACTGGTAAAGTAGTCTTTCATATTATAGAAATTTAAAATATTTTTATTTGAAAATATAATAAAATAATATTTATTTTAATTTTTTTTACACTAACATACTAAAAAAATATAAAAATATAAAAATTAATTTTTATATTATAGAAATAATTTAAAAATATAAAAATAATATTTATTTCATATTATAGAAATAATTATTTTTTAAAATATTTTTTATTTGAAAATATAATAAAATAATTTTTTTTTTACACTAACATAATTTAAAAATATAAAAATTAATTTTTTTCAAAAATTCAGTGCCATTACAAAAACAAAAACTAAGAAGGGATGAGAAAAAGGGATAAATTATTTTATTTAGTCCTAAGGTTTTAAATGTTATTATAAATTAGTCCTTCATGTTTAGAAACCTTTAACATAGTGGCTTGACTCTTGTTGATCATTGTCTTGCTTATACATTATCTGGTTTCTCCTTCATCCAAAATGTACCATTTGATGATTTTAAGTCTTAGCAACAAACCATTCAAAGTTTATGAAAGACAACGATCGACAACAGTCAAGGGACTATGTTATAGGTTTTTAATTACAAAGGACTCAGTTATAATTCCTTTCAAGAATCAGATACTAAAGAATAATTTACTAAAAGAGAGAAGTATAAATATGCTGTAGGAACAGAACGTGAGGGAAAATCGAAGCAAAGCCAAGCTGTGAAGTTCAGCAATGGCCTAAACAACGGCGGAAATCCCAATTCATTAATGGCCGAAACAAAGGCGGGAGCCCCAACCAACCAGATACCCATCCCTTCTCTTCTTCTATAAGCCAAAAAAATAAAACATACTTGGTGGGTTTGATTTAGATTTGCAAAGGAAAGATGAGTTTCTTTGGTTTTAGTGGATCATCACTACATTCTTCTTCAAATGCTTCTTCTTCTTCAATGGATTTTTGGTTTCAAAATGAAAGAATGAATTTTGGTTATGGATGGGCTACTCCCTTTGCGCTCCTTCTCATTCTCATTTTCCACTTCTCCAAGCGACTCTTCTCTTCTTCTCCTCCTCCTCCTCCTAAACGAAACCTCGTTTCTTCTTCTCCAGCTTCCACTGCTACTGATATTGGTTCCTCTAATTTCAGGTACTTGCTTTTCTTATCTAGTTTGGTCCCTCTTTTTTTAAGATCAAAATGAAATCTTTTCTGCTTTTCTCTCTCTCTTTTTTTTTCTTACACGGGAATGCTTTGTTTTCGTTCTTTTTCATTTTTGTCAATAATTTGATGTTTGTGTTGGATTGGGGGTTGGTTTAATTGAATCAAAGTCCCAATCTTGGGAGGGTTTTGATTAATGAAATGCAACTTCTGTTATTTGCTACTGTTTTTGCAGAATTTCAGAGATCGTTTCAGAAGCTGATTTGAAGTTTTTGATTGAAGTTTTGGATGGGAAACTAACTGAGAACGAGAGTGAGAAATGGGAAAATGTTACAAATAAGAAAAACAATCTTCTAGCTTATACCGCCAAATGTTTCAAACCAAAGGTTGTTGCCTTCTATCCCTAATGTTGTACTGTTTTCAATTTCCTAAAGTTTTCTCCTTTTGGTTTGTGGAATATGTCAATAAAGTTCATTTCGAAGTTTAGTTTGTTTTGTGTTTTATGAGTTCATTACTTGCGGTAGAAAGGCTGGCTAACCAATCGATATCTCTTTTAAATTCGGATTGAGTTGAAAGGCTGGCTAACCAATTGATATCTCCTTTAAATTCGGATTGACTTTTATTGGTGGAGTATGGTTTTAGAGAGAATTGATGTAATATGATGGTGTTTTCTGGTTGTGTATTTGCAGGATGCTCCGATAAAGTACTTGAGTGTGATGGTTTTTGAAAACTGCACCACAGAGGTGCTTAGGGACTTCTACATGGACAATGACTACAGAAATCAATGGGATAAGACCATAGTTGAGCATGAGCAACTGCAGGTGGATAGAACTAATGGAACTGAAATTGGTCACACAATAAAGAAATTTCCACTGTTGACCCCAAGAGAATACGTTTTAGCATGGAGATTGTGGGAAGGAAAAGATAAGACATTCTACTGCTTTATTAAGGTAATCATCCACAGCAACTGGTTTGACAGCATAACTTAGTTGCTTCTACCTATTGCTATGATTGTGCAATATGTTCACCTTCGTGCACTTTATGTGGAACAATCAATTTGGTTATATGTATTTATCAAGAAATGAAATATCGTTAGCTGGTGGGAAAACAACGGACTAGCAATAACCTTTTTTTTTTTGGAAAAAATAACAATTATGAAGTAGATTTTCAATGGTGAATGGTGATTGTTTACTGGCTAGAGCAAATGAGATAATAAGCTCTTAAACTTTTTAATGCAAGAATTTCCTTTTGATTTTGTTAAATTTATTCCGCCATAATGTCTGGGAAAATCATTTTATATATGCAATTGGCGATTTAGTTCTCTTCACCCTATTTTTAAGTCGATTGTCTAATCCTTAATTTTTAATTTGATGTTGATTACTATAATTAGGATTGTGAACATCCTTCAGCTGCAAGACAGAAGAAGTTTGTACGAGTGAAGTTCTTTAGATCTGGTTGGAAGATCAGTAAAGGCAATTTCCTGACCTCCCTTTTTGCAGTATTTTTTGTAGTTGCAAGATTGATAAACAAGCAAAAAAAAAAAAAAAAGAGAGAGAGAGAGAGCATAAAGTGTCTTGTATTGAGCTTTTCTAATATTATTTTCTGGCCTTCATTTGGATATATTTTTTTATTATTTATTTTAAATAAACCGTATCTTTCTGACATTGCAGTATTGACAGCAAAAAAAAAAAAAAAAGAGCATGAAATGTCTTATATTGAGCTTTTCTGACAATGATTCTTGGGCCTTTGTTTTCTTAGTTGTTTGGAATTCAGTATTTTATAAAAATTGCATGTTTTCTCCCAGCATGAAGTATATAGCGTAGACTGTTTCATTTTCTGCTGGAGCTTGTATTATTCTTTATATAGTGAGAAATGAAAGATCTTTATATGCTGCTGAAGCTTTACTTATGGAACATATGGATCTTTCTCCTTTTATTTTTTTATGTGGTACAGAAAAGATGCATCATGGAACATATGGTCTGTGTTTTAGGAGGTTATAAGCATGATTTTCAATTTGCCTGGTCTTTAGTTCTTCCTAAATGAAAACAGTTGCTTTTGGATTGCCTATTTACTTGATGCTTTAATTCTTCCTAGATGGAAATAGTTTACTCATGTATTGATTATTTTGTAATTCCTATCGCTTTAACTTACAGTCCCTGGTAGAAATGCCTGTGAGATCAAAATGTTTCACCAAGAAGATGCTGGTTTGAATGTGGAGATGGCAAAGTTGGCTTTCTCTAGGGGCATATGGAGCTATGTATGCAAGATGAATAATGCACTGCGCAAATACCCTGTGATTAGTCATCCTCAGACAGGTCCAGCTGTCACTGCAGTATCTTTAATCCAGAAGGTGAGGACCGGCATCTTGAAATACTGATGCTTTTAAAGAACACATTCGTGACTTAGCACAGCCTATCAATAGAATGATTGGTGAAGTCAGGTTTCCTTTCTAACATCACACGTAATATATGAAAGATGTAGTTTAACAGAAGTTTCCAAAACCATAGTGAGGAGATAAAATTAATGGCTTTATTATATTGAGATCATGAAATGTGTGTTAAACTGACTGAGTTTCCAAAACCTTTGGTTGGTGATTAAACTGCTGCACATCAGCGAGGAGATGATAATACTGGCTTTATTATATTGAGATCATCAAGTATGTGTTTCCTCTTTTGGCACAGGTTCCACCTGAACTAGAAACAATGAACAGTCTTTTGGATACTCAGGCAACTCTGACATTGACTGCCCCACGGGGATTAGTTACTGGTGAAGCCAAAGAGAAGAAATTCCCAAGAAGGCCATCTAGGAAAATTATAGGAAATGGTCTGCTTCTTCTAGGGGGTATCATCTGCCTGTCTCGTGGGCGCTCTAGCCTATGTGCTAAAGTTGCCATGGCATATATCCTGACAAAGCTGAGAAAACGTGATGAGTCGTCAAGCAAAGGAAGGGAAAGATGAGGTATATGATGACGTTGTATGACCAATACTAATGCTGCCGGACTCAATAATATCACGCAGTTTTATTAAGCATGGAATCTGACCTGTATACCTTTTAAAGAGATAGCATATTAAGCCCCTTTGTCTACGAGGAAGCTGAATTTCTTTCTAATCAAGATTTTTGTTCCATGAATGCCTTTGTACAGAAAATTTGCAACTTCATTACCCTTATTACCATTTCCACGAATGTAATTATGAAACCAACTTCAGGAAGTCAGGAGCCAACACCAAAGTTTGAAGATTTGAGTCAAAACTAGAAAGCTTAAATTGAAGAGAGCTCTCACTCTTGAATCCTCTTGAAGACTTGAGTTTTGTAGTATCCAGTTTAGCCATGACCAAATTGTTGGGCTATATAATGACCCTTTTCCTCTTTTCCTCTTTTTTTTTTTTTTTGCCGTAGTTAGTTTGACTCAACATTCAATTCAAGGCTGCCATCACTCTTTTCTAGAGGTCGGCCTCGTAGTGATCAAGGATACCGAGTTAGCTTGAGAAGGGTGGGAATGATATAAGAATATCATAATGAAGCTTGATATTGTAATATTACCAAATTGGGGAATAATGATTGACAGGAGACGTTTTCTCCTTGTGATTCTCCAACCCCAAAATATCATTCATATATATTCAGTAATTACACCGGCATAATTATTGCCATGTTCAGTTTAGAAAACACTTCAGTTATGGGATCATGTTTATATAATACATTGATGTGTATAAAAAAGAAAATGATGCCTTTTCCAAACTGTCTTTGATCTACAAAAGCTATTCTTAGTATACCGATGATGTTTATGTATAGTCTTTGTTTATGTATAGTCTTGGTTGACACGTAAGTTGGTTCGACATATATATATATATATAAGTATGGATTATGAAGAAGGAAGAACGGTTAGTATAAGAAGGCGGGAAGATAGTAACAGGAGGCTTTGTTAGTAATAACTCATAAAGCCGGAAAACCTTGACGAGCTCTCATTTCTCCTAATCATTCGCAGTTTTTTCTTCTCTGAAAAAAAACCACTCATTGTTAGCTGTCTTTTCTTCAAATATAGCCTCTCTCTCTTAAAAAAAATAATAATTCAAAAACAACAAAAAAAGGAAAAGACTCCTCTTTTCTTCCTTCTTGTTCCTAGAAGGAAGGCCAGAATCCTGTTGTTGATGTCTGACTTCTGAAACGTCATTCATAACCATCCTCTTGAATCTAGATAGCTTCAAGCATAACAAAGAAACAAAACCCAAGTTACTCTTTTTTTCTTTTTTTTTTGCCTGCTTCATTTTTGTTTTACGTTTTGGGGTAGAAGAATGTACCATAGTCTTTTAGGGTTCTTGATTGTCTCTCTTGTAATCCTCACCACCTTGGTCCATTCGAAGACTGATTCTGAAGATGGTATGCACACTCCATTTACACATGCACTGCAAAGTTTATTGATCTTGCCTTACATTTTGTTTTGATTCTCGAATGAGGTAATGGTGTTTAGGAACACGTAATTATCTGTAACGTTTCAAGGTTCCACACACACACATGTTGGTTATCAAGGTGAAATTTCTGTACATGTTTAATCTCAGGAGAGAATGAAATTTGATTTATATAAGGGAGATCTATGATCTTTATTGCCTTTACTAATACTATATTCGTTTGTTGTTTAATCTATGGGTAATAAAAGCCGTCTCTCTTTAAATGCAATTAACTTTTGATGGGGTGTTCTTGGTTTTCATGGATTGCATCCATCAAGGGATGTTTTCAACTATTTGTTCATGTATATGTAGATAAACTCATTCAAGAAGAAAATAACTATGGTGAAAAGTTCAGTGCATTTACAACGGGGTTACTGAAAAGTGCTTGTTTTAACTACAAATTTGCAACAAAAAATGGATACTAATAGGCTTAACAACTGCAAATATTCAAAGACAGTATTGAAACTCAGAACCCTTCTTTTATGATATTCAGTTACATAATCATAATTTTCTTAAGAATTAATTAAATTTGCATTTCAGTATTCTGATGCTTCCCGTATTGTGATTGCTGATTTCAGTTTCGGCTTTGAATGTGATGTTTACGAGCTTAAACTCTCCTTCAAAACTGAGTGGATGGCAATCAAGTGGTGGGGACCCTTGTGGAGACTCATGGGAAGGAATCCAGTGCTCAGGCTCATCTGTGACTCAAATGTAGTTAGATTTGCTTGTCAAATATTTCTGGTGAAGAGATTTTACATCTCACATATTTAGCAGGAATAAACCTGAATTTTCTGAATGCTTTTGCAGAAAGTTATCTGGATTTGGACTTACTGGATCACTGGGTTATCAGCTATCAAACTTGAAATCTGTCACCTACTTGTAATGCCCAGTTTCTAAATCATAGCACTTTTTTTTTTACACCAGCTTTTTTTCTGATGAAGGAACAAAACCTCAAGACTTTTGGTATTTCTTTGTCATAGTACAGTGATGTGAGCAAAAACAACCTCAAGAATGATATGCCATACCAGCTTCCTCCTAATGCAGCTACGCTGTAAGCCTACTGACATTTTCTTTATCTGGAACACTGCTAAACAAGTTAATATATGTTGTGATTGTTCTTTACCCAAGCTCATTTTTTTTTTACTGGACTGATTCATGAATTTAAGTGTGTTCGATACTAATCTTGCAAGCTTAACGTGCAGAGATCTTTCTAATAATGGCTTCACTGGCAGTGTGCCCTACTCAATTTCACAAATGACTAAACTTCAAAACCTGTAAGCATACTTGGTTCTTTTGTTACAAAACCTTCCATTTGTTCTGAATACTCATTCTTAATTTTGATGCTTCCTCCAGAAATCTTAATCAAAATAAATTAAATGGACAGTTGAGTGATATGTTTCAGAAACTCTCAAAACTTAAAACACTGTAAGTATTACTAACTGGAATGATCAAAAGGTTCTTAAAGTCTTCTGTTTGTTACAATAAAAGTTATGATTCACTCATGGAAATGACTTACAGGGATCTATCCCACAACTCGATCTCAGGGAATTTGCCTCAGAGTTTTTCTGCACTTTCAAGCCTCAGCACATTGTAAGAAGTGATAATAAAATTTTTATTTAGGTCCTCTTAGTTTATTGCAGTGATTGTTTATGTCTTCGTACAGGCATTTGCAAGACAATGAATTCACCGGTACCATAGATGTCCTTGCCAGACTTCCCCTTAAAGATTTGTAAGTAACATTCTGAGTACTTCAATTGAGCAGCTATTGTTTTTCAGTTTAGGTCAGAAATATTGATGTCTAAAATTCTAAAGTCCGATGGTTCATTGATAAGAATGATGGTTTCAAACTTTAATACAGTAGTTGATGTTAGTGAAAAGTAAAGAACTCACAACATGAATCCACTGTTCCACTGGCAGGAATATTAAAGACAATGAGTTCACTGGTTGGGTCCCTGATTCGCTGAATGGCATTGATAATCTGGAGTAAGAATACCCTAATTGCCATTGATAATCTGGAGTAAGAATACCCTAAATTTGCCTCTCTCTCTCTTTGTTTTTTTTTTTGAGGATGTAGGCTGTAAGATATTGCTTCTCTGACTTCATGATTTTATTTTCTGAAGAACGGGCGGGAATGCGTGGTCATCTGGTCCGGCTCCTCGTGGTAAATCTAGTTCAGCACATGGCAAGGGAAGTGGGAAAGGTGGCATGAATGGACTTGCTATAGCGTTAATAGTTTTGGCTTCACTGGTTGTAGTTGGACTTCTCATTATACTACTTTCAAAAAGAAGGTCCTCTCCATCTTCAAATTTTCTTGAGGAAGATAATGGCAGCTGGCATAGAGCATTTACTCCCCTTTCATCACATGAACTATCCAATGACACCCGTGCTGCCATAAAGAAAGAGTTTAAAGGTAGTTGATTGACTTCAGCATAATTTTATGTGGAGAACTTTGCAAAATCTTTGTTATAAATATTTTACTTTGTGTTCGCACCTTTATGTCCCTTTTTAATGCTGTCCTGTTTCAATACTGTGCATGCTGATGGACATTGTTGGTGTGGACTTAACAATATGATTTACTGGTGAAAGAAATTGAACCAATGAATTTGTCTGGTTCGATTGATATAAAGAATCTTCAAAAAGCTCCTTCCGTGGGTTACAAGCCTCCACCTTCTGATTTTTCCGAGTCTATAAGTGATAACGAGTTTGCCATCCGTCTAAATGCTGGAAGAAGCACCTCTGTTCGTTCCATAGCTTTTTCCTTGACAGATTTGCAGACTGCTACTGGCAATTTTGCATCTGGCCGACTTATTGGTGAGGGATCCCTTGGTCCTGTTTACAGGGCCAAATATCCTGACGGGAAGGTATAATTAGTCATTTCATATTTTCCTTTCCATTTATTTTCTGGCACTACCTAATACTTGATCCCTAGTTCGTTGTCAACTTTGGCACATCATATATTTTATGTGCTTGATTGTTACTGGATTGTAACTAAAAACACAATTTGCAATGAATAGTTGGATTTTGCGTTCCTGCAACATAATTTATTTTTTGCTTATCAGGTTTTAGCTGTCAAAATGATTGATTCATCACTTTTTCAAGGCGCAAAACAAGAGTTTTCAGAAATTGCTTCAAGCATCTCAAAAGTTCACCATCAGAACATTGCTGAGCTTGTTGGTTATTGTTCAGAACAAGGGCACAGCATGTTGATATACGAGTATTTCAGGAATGGCTCACTTCATGAATTCCTGCATGTGTCAGATGATTATAGTAAACCACTAACCTGGAATACCAGAGTTAGAATAGCTTTGGGCACGGCACGTGCTGTCGAGTAAGTCAATATAAGCACATGCTCATGCAAATCTATTAGCCTAGTGGCTAAATGCTTAAACTGTAGAGAAAGAATGCAGATGAACGCCCTCCTGCAGATTGATCCCCGTAGCTGTTTCCTTTTTCTCTAATAAAATATCAATTCTTTGGGCAGGTACCTCCATGAAGTTTGTTCTCCATCCTTCATCCACAAGAACATCAAGTCATCTAACATTTTGCTTGACCTTGAGCTCAATCCATGTCTTTGCGACTACGGGCTGGCAAACTTCCATCATGTTAGTATTTCTTGGGACATACAAGATCTCCATACTGCTAGCATAGTCTGGAAATACGATGCCTGTTGTTTTGACAGCTTTTGGTATTAACATGTGAATTTTAATTATCGCTTTTCTCTTTTTCGCAGCGGACAAGCCAAAACCTTGGTGCAGGCTACAATGCTCCAGAGTGCACTAAGCCTTCAGCTTATACAATGAAGAGTGATGTTTACAGTTTTGGAGTGGTGATGCTGGAGTTATTGACTGGCAGGCAGCCTTTTGACAGGTATGGTTTTTCTGCTGCTGCAAAGTTCACCGTTTGCCAGTGGATGTTGATATCCAATGTAATCTCCATATCATAACTAATTAAGTTGCCATATTCCCTTGCTTCTTTGCAGTTCAAAACCGAAATCAGAACAATGTCTGGTTCGATGGGCCACCCCTCAACTACATGACATTGATGCGTTGGACAAAATGGTAGACCCTGCATTGCGCGGGCTATACCCTCCAAAGTCTGTTTCTCGATTTGCTGATATCATTTCCCTCTGTGCACAGGTAAGAACCATCGGGAAATTGTTGGTGCAGGGTATTGTTTGTGCTTTACTGTCTTCAAGCATGGTGATCTCTTCAAACAGAAGTAATATTTTGCTTTGCATTCTTTATATTATTAGGTGGAGCCTGAATTCCGGCCGCCTATGTCAGAGATAGTGCAAGCATTGGTGCGATTATTTCAGTGATCGAGTATGAACATAAGAGACGATATTGCAGTTTCTAATCAGATGGAGGATTCTGACTACTAGTGCTAGCTGTATTCTTTCAAGTTTGATACAGAACAAAGTCATTTCTTTTTGTTTGGTTCTCCCTCTTGTACATGTCTGCTAGTAGCCTTGGTTACATAGGACTCTTGGAGATTTTCTTTGCTTTTTTAACAACTTCAAAGGGTTTACTTTCTTTCTTCTTTCTTCTTCTTCTGCATGAAAGATTTTATGGAGAAATTCGACTTCCTGAGTGAGGTAGTCTGAGTATCGCTTGTCATTCTCACACAACCAAATTTCTCCTCTCGTCCGGACTGGCCCAAAAGAAATCTCCAAGCCCTTGGACAAGATAAGCTGTAACCTCATATATGGCTCAGGGCTTTTTTTTTTTTGACATGGCTCAAACCAAAGAATGATGGATCAAACCCTTCTTCCACGTCGAGCTGGTGAGTTCAGATAAATTATTCTGAAAACTTGAAACTTTAAATTTTGACTGGCAATATAAAACCCTATGAGCAACTGTCATTATAGCTTCCTTTGATAAATAAACTGTACAAAGCATGGTGTGATTGACTTAAAACATACAACAAAGTCCTGATTTCTTAATTGCTTTGTTGTTTAAAGCTTGCAAGTTTGAACAATCCCTTGAGAATTTAGTGAGATGAAGCGCTCAACAACCAACAACACTTGATCTCTTCCTAGCTACCAATCTTAATCTGTCCATCTGTATCGTGAAGTATGAACGTAGATAAAGTTGTTAAGTCAGAATCTACCAAGAAATTGAGAGAGAGGGGGAGTAACCTGTCTCTGTCTTTCTTTCCTTTCGGGGTTTGCTTTTGCGATTTTGATGTACCAAAAGTTAGCTTAGAGCCAACTAAAACACGTTACCGACAAATACCATATGCGATTAATCAGTGGTCAGTCAACTCAGCCCATTTGAACTCAGATGTGGTAGGATCCAGGACTCCTAAAGTGGGAATATTGTGTCAGCTTCAACTACCACATGTGTGTCTCACGAGGCATCTCCACTTACTTACTAGGAGTGCACTACCACATGTGTGTCTCACGAGGCATCTACCACATGTGTGTTTAGAAGTGTAATTGTTGTTGTTTTTTAAAGTATTCTTTATTAAAAAAAATATTAATAATATTTTTTTTATTTTTTAAAAATTATTTTTAAAATTAACATATCAAAATAATTTAAAAATATCAAAAATATATTAATTCAAAACAAAAAAAATTCAAATTTTTCCAGAAGCGCTTTTCAAACACAGTGCCAAACATACGTAAATGTTGATGGGAAATGTAATTCAATTTGTATTTTTAAAAAATTAAAAAAAAATTATTTTTTATTTTTATTAAAATTTAATATAATTTGTATGTTTTAAATTATTTTGATGTGCTAATATTAAAAATAATTTTAAAAAATAAAAAAAATTATTAGCATGTATTTTGGCATGAAAAGTTATTTGAAAAACAACCGCTATCACACTACCAAACATACTTTAAAACACTAGTCAATTAGCCTGTCAGCTCCGTTTTCATTTAAAATGTGATATATATATATATATATATATATATATATGAAGAGGGTTTTTTTTTAGTGTCATTTAAAATGACCAAAACCTCCAAAATTCAATATTTTAATTAAATAATATGATACTTGAGTTAATTTAAATCAATTAATTTTATAAGTTTAAAAATAATATAAATAACTGATAAAATCATGTTTTAATTTTCAGAAAGACTTCAAGATAATAATTTTTAAAAAAGATGTGGAGATAACAATAAAATGGATCAACCTCAATTAATCTCCTATCGACCTGGGTCATGGACTCTATTAGATTTAATAACCTATTTTATAATTTTTTTTATTTAATTATGTAATAAAAATAAATACTCTTAAAATTGAATACCAACCCTAAAATAGATATTTATTGAAGATTGTGATAAACCTATAGAAAACAAAAAAAAATAAATCATAGGTGTATTTCCTAACTAATCTAATATTGAAAGATAAAATAAAAAACTCCAAACTTGTGAACTAGGTTATGAACTTCACTAAGATTATAATTTTTTTAAACTATTTTTATTTAATTATATGATAACAAAAATAAAAGATTGCAAAATCGAACACCAATTTGCTCAAATTCCAAATTATTTTTTGTAATTGGGACGGATGACATGTTGTCTGCCTCAATTTGTTTTTAAAAAAACAACTAAACAACGTGTAGTCTGCTGAGGCAAACAAAGCATTGTCTGATTTGGCCAAATTTTGATCACTATAGTGACCATAAAATAAAAGCTTAAATTTTTTAACTGGAAAACTCATTTTTCAACCCATTTTGACCCAAAACATTAGAGGAATCGTGATAGACATATCTATAATCTTAAAAAACCCTACCAAAAACCAAAATCAACTTGAATTTAGATATGTTTTTTCATGAATTTTAAATTAAAAAAACATAATATAAACTCCCTTTATCAAATGGAATCGTTTGACATAAATTTTATTCATTTTGATAGCTTAAATCAGTGTCAAGAATATTTTTATATCTTTATCGCCATAATTCGGCGATCGTTGTCTCTCTTTTTCAACCATGGACTAAAAAATAATAAAAATTAAATTTTATACTAAAATTAAATTGAAAAATATTAAGGTACTGAAATTGTATAATTTGCATGATTTTTAAAGTTGAAGGACCAAAGTGTATATTTTTACTAAACTTATGGCATGCCACCCATGTTTAACATCTTTTTTTAGTTTGATCTTTTTTTTTTCAATCCCACCTTTTCATAAGAAATCAAGATTAATTAATCTTTAATTTATAACTAAATCATCAAAAAAAAATTAAGAATTAAATTGAAAAAACCCAAAATTTTCATAGCATCCACGGTAATGCATAAGAGTACGAAGAATAAGCAAATCAGTGCTTGGCCTAGCGGTGGAAGGGGCTTGTCTCCTTCCACTGCACCTGGGTTCGAGCCCTGACGTGCACGCCTATCACCCCCGTGGTGCCTTACATGCCTACTGGGTTTGCAGGATATTCAGTGGGCCGTAGGAATTAGTCGTGGTGCGCGCAAGCTGGCCCGGACACCCCACGTAAATAAAAAAAAAAAGAGTACGAAGAATAAAACCTTGTGCAATAAAATACAAAAAAAGACCCATGCATTTGAAAGTAATATTTAATGTTAATAATAATGGTGTGGAAGTAGTACGGATTTGATAAATGATGACTTGTAAGTCAAAAGAGATACTGCTGATAAAATTATGGAGTAACATAGGAAGGATGGGAGTAGGCAAATTTCATCATGTTATGAACATTCAGTGGTGTTTGGTTAATATATGTTAGGGCAAAAGACAACAAGCGAAAAGAAGATAGGATATCAGAGGTAGGATATCAGTGATCAAGTTTTATCTTGGATGATATTGAAGAAAGATTATAAATCAAAACCAATCTGCCTCCGTTGGCAAAAGGCCACTAAGTTAACTTCATCACCTACCTCGCTAGCTTCAAATGATGAGTTTGACTAGTTTGATCTTCATTGTAATCATATTTTTTTGTTTTTGTTTTGAGGTTTAGGGTTTGGCAGTTCGCCATGGATACAAGAAGGGCGATGTCCATCTCAAGAAGTGCCAACCCAGAACGGCGGCAGGTAGGTATCCTCCCTATTCTTTGCCATATAAAATGAGTCCGGGCGGCAGGTAGGTATCCTCCCTATTCATGTTAATTTCAGCAAGACTACATGTTTGGCGACGTTCCTCTTAATTATTGGCTTTCCCTGGTCACACATGGCCCACTGATCCTTTCTTGCATGGAACGTGGAATAATTGCTGTATATATCTCTGCTCACATTTTAAATATTTAGCACTGTAAATTAATCTCAAGAACCAGTACCATCGAGCTTCGCCTTGATGGAGCCCTCCATTACTGCACCTTGAATCCATCCCTGGTTTTAATTTTTCACGTGATCACATCACCTGCAAGGATAGTAATGGAGGGCTCCATCAAGGCTTTTGGTTAATTTTCTCCTCTGCTTGGTACTTAATTGAAACAAATAAAAAAAATAAAATTGAATAAACTTGCCCCACATGCAATTGTGCATTAGGGTGGGACATATGCACACCTCATTTATTTCTATACTTGGCCTAATTTACTTTTAGCGAGGTTAATTAATTAAAAGCTTCTTTATATTCAACTAAATCTAGGCGGTGGTTAAATGGTAAGGACTTGGGATCAAGGAGTTTGCTCCCTCTGTGGTCTCAAGGTCGAGTCCTTGGTTGCTCATATGATGACCACTAGAGGCTTATATGATTGTTAACTTCAGGACCCGTGAGATTAGTCGTGATGCGCGCAAGTTGGGCCGGACATCCACGTTAATTTAAAAAAAAAATGATATATATATCATTTTAGTTGAATATAAAGAAGCTTTTAATTAATATATAAACACTTGAATGCACCTTGTGTGCCCATTTTTTTTTATTAATTAAGATTAAAGTAAACATATAATTAATTACAAGCCCTGCTTGTGATTTGTTTTATTCTTATTCCTCAATAAAAATATAAATATATTCAGGTTAGTTTATAGATTAAAATTAAATTTCTAACTTTAAGGATATATTTTTATATTGGCCTGATGTATTCTAAAAAACTCAATAAATCCTTTTCCAAAATCCAGAGCATAATACATTTAAGGGTGCATTAATATACTCTTGAATCCACCCTAGCTACATGTAAATAAATACCCTAAGAATTAATTATCAATATACACAAAGTTAATGAACTTTGAACAAGAGTACCTTTACATAAACTTCAGTGGCAAAATACCAATCTAAGATTTGATTTTCTAGCTGGTGGTGAGATGATGCTGAAGTTGACATTATCTCAGCCCATTAATGTTTGTTGCATTCCACTTCTCATCAAGAACAATTTATCAATAATAAAGAGTTATTAATTGATGATTCATCTTTCTTTAGCTATCAGTCTTTTATGCCGTCTGCTGGCCCTCCCTCCTCCCCTCTTGCGAGGCGAAGTTCCTCCATTGAAGTCATGCATTGTTTATGACCAGGAATTTGGGTCATCAACTTCTTAAGTATACATGAGATAAATCCTTGACATACCATGGAGTTCTTTGCCGAAATTGATCTGCGACCTCCAAGTTCTTACCTTGTTTTTCTAGCCATGTATAATTGTAGACAGATTAACATATTTCTTAATTAATTGTTCAGAAGATTTCTGTTGTAGCCGAGTGATTAACACGTAAAAGTAATGTAAAGAATTAGAAAAAAGGCTAAGCCTTTTTTATTTAAAGAATTAGAAAAAAGGCTAAGCCTTTTTTGTTTTATTTATTTTTAGGTTGGTGGTAAATTAATTTTGATATTTTTTAATAAAAAATTAAAAAATTAACTTAATTAAGTGGAGTTCGTAACTCGAGTTATAAAATTAAAAAAATAACTAAATATTAATTTTATTTTATTAAGTTTAATGATAATGATAAAAAATTTAATGATTGAAATATATATTTTTATGTTTTAAAATTCATGTGTTTGACTCACAAAAATCTAACATATTTTAAATTTTTATTTAAAATTAATAAAAAAATTTGAATGAAACTCACCTAATAAAAAAAAAAAATGAAACTCACCTAAAATATTAAATATAAAGTATAAAAGTTACTTAGTCAATCAATTAATAGTTGAAATTATAAAAGACAACCAATCTTCTCGTCAATCGATACGTTTTGGGTAGGATCTCTCCACCAAGTATAATAATTTTACTTGTTAGACTCCCAGTCAACACTACAAGCAACAAATTCTTAGAAGGAGACGGGAAGAAGACATTTCACTGTTTTTTCTTTTTTTAGTATTTTTGAAGAGAGATAAATTATGTTCGAATGAATGACAGAAAATTGATAACTTTCTTCTGTTTGAGATGTTAAGAGTAATTTTTCCTATAAAATACAACAAGTAATGGTGATCGGTGAAACTTGTTTCCTGCACCTACTTCTTGCCGATTATTTATGGTATGGTTTATTTTCGTATTTTAAAATATTTATATTTTTTAAATTAATAATTTTTTGATATTTAAAAATATTAATATAAAAAATAATTTAAAGAATAAAAAATATTATTTTAATATATTTTAAAATAAAAAATATTTTAAAAAAACCACCACAACCATAGCTTTTAATCACGATAATTGCAGGTAAATTTCTTTAGTGCGTGGCACCTAACTTTTCAGCATCCTAACAAATATCATCCTAATAATTTGTGATTATTAAAGGAAAAAAAAACACTTTTGCTATGTTTATCGGTTACCTGAAAACTGTGGAAGCTTTAATTGTTGCTGTCAATGGTACTGTTTGGTATGCCGGATGGACATGATACAATTTTATTTTTATTTTTTAAAGGTTGTTTGGTGTATTTCTTGAATAATTCAAAGATTAATTTTTGTTATTTTAAAAGTTGTTTTAGTATGGGTTTGAAAATGTAGTTGGGGTTATTTTTTTAAAAGTTTGAAAATGTAGTTGGGGTTATTTTTTTTTAAAATATTTATGTTAAAATATATTAAAATAATTTTTTTTATTTTTTAAAAATTATTTTTAAAATCAGCGTATCAAAAAAATCTAAAAAATTAATTTTTATAAAAAAACTAAAATGTTTTAAAAACAATGTTCTCTAAGTAAAGAAGCTTTTGTCTTACTAGAAAAGATACTACAAGCTTATCCAATGCTTTATACAATGATTAATCTAGTTGATTTTGTTTGATATAAAAATAAAAATAATAATTATTATAATTATAAAATTAAATTTAGAGGTTGATCTTAGATCAAGCATGAATATAGATCAGATTGATTATTAACTTCAATCAATATAAGAATATAAATAATTGTTATTATAACTTTAAAATTTATTTTGGGGGTTGACTCGGATGGAACTTTAGTTAACCTTAGGATACAAATATTTATTATCATAATCTTAAAATCTAACTCGGGAATAAACTCAAGTCATGGGTCAAGATAGTCAACCGAATTGTTATGATAATTATAGAATTAAATTTAGCGGTTGATCTTAGATCAAGCATGAATATAGATCAGATTGATTATTAACTTCAATCAATATAAGAATATAAATAATTGTTATTATAATTTTAAAATTTATTTTGGGGGTTGACTCGGATGGAACTTTAGTTAACCTTAGAATACAAATATCCTAGCGGTGGGAGGGGTTTGTCCTCTTCCTCCGCACCTGGGTTCGAACCTTACTATGCACGCCTGTCACCCCCGCGGTGCCTTACCTGCTCACTGGGCTTGCAGGATGTTTAGTGGGCCGTGGGGATTAGTCGTGGTGCGTGTAAGCTGGCCCGGACACCACACGTAAATAAATAAATAAAAAAAAGATAAAAAACTTATTTATCAAGACATATATGGTACATTCCAATCAATTCTCTCCAGCATATCTAATATTACCTAACCAACTTTAACATTGAATTGAATCAAATTTAATGCGGGATGCTAATTTTTTTTTGGTATTATATTGTTGAGTGCTTTTTAAAATAATATTTTACTTAAAAATATATTAAATAAATTTATTTTTTATTTTTTAATATTTATACATAGAAATAAGTTTAATAATGTTTTAGTATAAGTACACTCTCAAGGACATTAGTTAAAATAAATAAATATAGCCACAAAACAATCTTCAAAACTGTGTCTGCAGAAATACTTGTTCTTGTCAATTGTCATCAGCAGTAGCAACCGCGTGTTATGCCCTGCCGAACCAAAGATCACTCAATTGTATCTTTCTCTCTACTTCATTTGCAGCCTCCCATTTTGCTCGTGTTAATTCTTGCCCTCCTCCCCACAAGACCCAGCACTACATATATAATTAATCTGTATACCTCCCTCTCCCTCTCCTATTTTATATGTTCCATGCTAGCTAGCTAGCTAGCTCTTTAATCGATCTGTCAGGGTTTCTTATTAATAATTTGTTTCTTGCGTGCTATATAGAATACCAATACGCACGACCAACACATAGATATATTATGTGGAGGCTAAAGATTGCGGAGGGTGTGAGCAGCAATGAGTTGTATAGCACAAATAATTTTGTAGGGAGGCAGACATGGGAGTATGATCCTCACGGTGGAAGTCCTGAGGAGAGAGCTGAGGTTGAAGAAGCTCGTCTCAGTTTCTACAACAACCGTTATCATGTCAAGCCCAGCGGCGACCTCCTCTGGCGTATGCAGGTATTGGTTAACTTACTACCCACTTATATATACATATATATGGTATGATCAACCAGAAATAATTGCTAATTCTATATAATTAGTTGATTAAACCACTGTAATTACGTACTTCTTACTGGCCGGGGTCCTATGGTACAGTCTTCATTACTCTCTGTAATCCATTACTATTATAGTTATAAGAACAATCTTTATGCTGTTTAGTTTTATTTTTCTTACAAATTAACGAGAGGTTTGAATTTTCCAAGATCTCTTAATAGAATAAATGATATAAATCTTAGCTGTACTACGTACTCTTCTTCTTCTTTTGTATTTTTTAGTAAATATCTAAAGCTATTCTGTATTCCTTTGTTAATAGGAGGGAGAAGCACCTCGATCTTTTTTGTTCTTGCTTTTGTCCTTTAGTGATGAAGCTGTTTGTTGCGTTTCCATCACCATCATTCAACAAACTTGATTAAACTAAACGCTCCGGAGAATTAGTGTGTGTGTGTGTGTGTGTAGAACATTAATGTTTTATACTTAATTTTCACCAATTTAAGGACGGAAGGTTCATATATTGTAATAATATGTCCGCTATAAATTAAGTTAAATTAGATGGACAGATCAACAAAGAGATCATGAGACAGTCTCTCTCTTTTTTTAAAAGTTCAAGGTCTGTATTAATAATGTTGATGCATGCCCCACACGTAGATCCAAGAGAACTTTCTTTTCGAGCTTTATGAAGATGGATTTATGCAGCTGCCATTGTGGCTTTCCCTTTAATTTTTCTTTGCAAATCTCCACCTTCCATAGTACAATATGTTAGCTGAGCAATCGATAATGGGAAAGGTTAAACGCATTCATACTTGATTTAATTAATGAATCCCATTGATTGAATGGATGGATGAAGTTCTTTGATCTCTTGTTCAATGGTGTGTGTATGTTTAAAAAAAACAAAAAAAAAACAAAACAAATCCATGCCATTATAGGCATCGCATTCTTTTTTCTTTTTTTTTTGAAATTATTATGGGCCTGATGAGTTGAAAAATATTTGTAACTATCATTATCAATGGAATATATAATTTGTTTTCTATTTGGTGGAAGAATTTATATGATTTGTTGTCTCTAGCTCTAATATTATATTATGATCCTTAATTATTCTTTGACCAAAACGATGTATGAATATTGCAGTTTCTCAAGGAGAAAAACTTTAAGCAAAAAATACCTCAAGTGATAATTGAAGATGGCGAGGAGATCACATATGAAAAGGCAACAAATGCATTGAAGAGGGCTGTCCACTTCTTTTCAGCTCTACAGGCTAGTGATGGCCACTGGCCTGCTGAAAATGCTGGCCCCTTGTTCTTCCTTCCTCCCTTGGTGAGCATCTTATATAGCATTTGTTGCCTTCCCAAAAATTTAGATGACTACTTGTAATTATCAGTCAAAATTTATGCTATTTTTTATTTTTTTTGGTTCGCTTGAAAACGCAGGTAATGTGCCTGTACATTACAGGACATCTAGATTCTGTATTCTCTGTTGAGCATCGTAGGGAAATCCTCCGTTACATCTATTATCATCAGGTACATTTATGCTAATTTTCTGTTCTTCATGGTTCTAATTTTCTGGTAGGTAATATGCTAATTATATCCGTGGGAATATTGCAGAATGAAGATGGTGGTTGGGGACTACACATTGAGGGTCACAGTACCATGTTCAGCACAGTTCTCAGCTACATTTGTATGCGAATTCTCGGGGAAGGACCCAGTGGTGGTCAAGACAATGCTTGTGCCAGAGCCCGGAAATGGATTCATGATCATGGTACTGCAACACACATACCCTCTTGGGGAAAGACTTGGCTCTCGGTAATGATCCATCCTGTATTCCTTAATTATCTATATATTGCAGAACCGATATAATTATGCTTGCTAGAACTGAAATCAATGTAAATTGTTCTTTCTGTCGCAGATACTCGGTGTATTTGATTGGTCTGGAAGTAATCCGATGCCCCCAGAATTTTGGCTCCTTCCCTCTTTTCTTCCTATGCATCCAGGTTCTAAAATTTCCGTGTGTCTTCGACAGGATTGCATTTTCTGCCTAACAACATCTGTTCATTTTCCCTCTGTTGCCTTTGTGTTAACACTCTTTTTGGCTTCAATATGCAGCGAAAATGTGGTGCTATTGTCGGATGGTTTACATGCCAATGTCGTATCTATATGGGAAAAGGTTCGTTGGTCCTGTTACACCTCTCGTTCTACAGTTGAGAGAAGAACTCTTTGCTGAACCTTATGATCAAGTCAATTGGAGGAAAACGCGTCATCTGTGTGCTGCGGTGAGTTCACCTTAAACTCGAATAGTTAGCACCATTCTGCAAATTTATTGTGATGTTGCTATATATTGGCAGTAACTGATACTGAATACTGTTGGTGCAGGAGGATCTCTACTATCCCCATCCTTTGATTCAAGATCTGGTATGGGATAGTCTCTATGTATTCACCGAACCTTTTCTTACTCGTTGGCCCTTCCACAAGTTAGTAAGAAAGAAGGCTCTTGAAGTAACGATGAAGCACATTCACTATGAAGATGAAAACAGTCGTTACATTACAATCGGATGTGTGGAAAAGGTGACTTACTGCTGAATAGAAAGGGGCCCTATATCTTCTACCTCTTATCTGATAATTTCTAATACTTTTATGAACTTGGTTTTCAGGTGTTATGCATGCTTGCTTGCTGGGTTGAAGATCCCGATGGCGATTACTTCAAGAAACATCTCGCTAGGATCCCTGATTATTTATGGGTGGCTGAAGATGGAATGAAAATGCAGGTTAGAAGGCTTGCATTCTTTAACTATTATGTAGAGTAGAGACCTCAAAGAGGGTATCATGTGCTTAATAAAATATGGAATATGTGTGCAGAGTTTTGGAAGTCAGCAATGGGATACTGGTTTTGCCATTCAGGCCTTGCTTGCTAGTAATTTTACGGATGAAATCAGAGACGTACTCAAGAGAGGACATGACTTCATAAAGAAATCTCAGGTTTGTTAATTTTACTGTTATTTATCCCTCTTAGAAAACATTTTGCCTTTTCCCTTAACCATCAAATAATGTTCATTTTCTCTTTAATTTTCATTCCGGTTATAGTTTTATCTCACCAAAACTCGAAATTAATTTAAAGGTCAAGGACAATCCTTCCGGTGACTTCAAGAGCATGTACCGGCATATTTCTAAGGGATCCTGGACTTTCTCTGACCAAGATCATGGATGGCAAGTTTCTGATTGCACTGCGGAAGGATTGAAGGTTATAAACTGTGTTCAAGCACTTAAAAGTCCCTTATCTTCTTTGCCATTTTGTTCGAATTGCAATATGCCTCTCACCAGAATAAACTAACTTGCATCTACTATGCAGTGCTGCCTACTTCTCTCAATGATGCCGCCAGAAATTGTTGGCGAGCAACTGGAGCCTGAGCGGCTTTTCGATTCTGTCAATGTTCTTCTTTCTCTACAAGTAAGAATTAAACTAGGACGCTTAACTATCTATAAACACTATATCTAGCAATTTGTTTCCTTCAATAAAGAATTTTCCAAGGTCACAAGATAAACTTTGTTGCTGAACATCCAGAGTGAAAATGGAGGTTTAGCGGCGTGGGAGCCAGCTGGAGCTCAGAAGTGGTTGGAAGTAAGTCCTTGAACATTTTCGGTATTTTTATCTGTTCTTTCATTTTCACTTTATTTTAATCGTGAACAAATGGTGTTTCAGCTACTGAATCCCACAGAGTTTTTTGCTGACATTGTCGTTGAGCATGAATATGTTGAGTGCACTGCATCAGCAATCCAAGCATTATCATTGTTCAAGAATTTGTACCCTGGTCACCGAAAGAAGGAGATCGATAATTTTGTAACAAATGCTGTACGATACCTCGAAAGCATACAAACTCCAGAGGGTGGATGGTATGCCCTCCTAATTAATTTTAACTTATGTTTATTTTGGTTCTCCAAGTATTTCAGAACCTGTAATTTAACCACAGGTATGGAAACTGGGGAGTTTGCTTTACTTATGGTTCATGGTTCGCACTCGGAGGCCTAGCAGCTGCAGGCAAGACTTACAGCACCTGCGCAGCCATGCGCCAAGGTGTTAATTTTCTTCTCAGCATACAAAAAAACGATGGAGGTTGGGGAGAGAGCTATCTTTCATGCCCTAAGAAGAAATATGTACCTCTTGAAGGAAATCGATCGAATTTGGTACATACTGCATGGGCTATGATGGGTCTGATTCATGCTGGGCAGGTTAGCATGCTGTTTATCAGTAGTTTTAGCCTACGTTGTTGTTTCATTTTCCGTAATTTATACCCTTTTCACAGCCCTGCCTCCACAAAAGCCTTAATAAGAAACGGCCTCAGAATTTCTGATTATAAAATCTGTTTCCTATCCATGGTTATAGATGGATAGAGACTCTGCACCTCTTCACCGAGCAGCGAAGCTCATAATCAATTCGCAGTTGGAAGATGGTGATTTCCCCCAACAGGTAACTTTCAAAGTATTAACCTATAGTCAGAAAACCACTTCAATTGAATTTTTTAAAGATGGGCCAGACTCCAAAAAGTCTGCCTGCGATTCCTATCAGCCCTTTGTGGGTGGGTGCTATATACTATGATGGACATGAAAAAATTGCTGATGATGCATCTTCACTTCAACTTTTATATCAAAAGATCCTTAACCCATGATCTTCTTATTGATGGCAGGAAATCACTGGGGTGTTCATGAAAAACTGCATGCTACATTATGCAGCATACAGAAATATCTATCCATTGTGGGCTCTTGCAGAATACCAGAGGCGTGTTCTTCTGCCTTCGAAATAATTGAAGTCCAATAGCAGAGTGTCTAACTCATCATTGCAAACACAAACGAAATAATGAATTTCAATCCAATAGCTATATCAGTTTGTTTTATTGCTTGTTCTTTTAGAATTTCCCTAATATGTATAGAGAATAAGGTTCTTGCGTAATAATAATAATAATATATTTTTGTACACAGATCGAATGTCTCTAGCAGAAAATTGTATCCTGAACTGTCTCAGGTTCACACTTTATAGAATCAAAAGGGCACAGATGTATCTGTGTTGGCTTGTTTTACTGGATTCAGCTGTCTCAGTCATTGCATGTTTTCCTCTCTTCCAAAACTTTCACCAAATCTAGCAAGCACCATCTCATATCCAGCTCACTGATCTTTCTACAAATTCTACCACTTTGTAAAATCTTGAAAGTCATTAACAAATTGTTTTTTAATAGAAGAATATCTTAAAGTCTACATGAAACTTGAGCCTCGGTTGACAAATTGCAATAACCAAACTAAGAAGTAAAGTAAGCTTGACCAATTCCTTTTCAAATATAACAAATCATTTCTCATGCAAAAAACTTTATGGTTTGATAATACGTGGGGTTAACCCCCATTTTAGCTGATTTTGAGAGGGTGGGAGAGGAGGAAGTTGAGGGAACTGTCCTGATATTGGCCCCGTTATCTGGCAAAGAGTTGTCTTAGTTTTCGTTTCTTCTATATAAATGTTTGTTTGGCCAATGCAACCTTCATGAACTAAAAACTACCTCTATAAAACACTAAATTCTTCAACAAACATTGGAGCTCTTTCTGTGTAGCCTAATCCTTTTCATTTTCTTCATTTTAGTTGATTTTGAGGGAGTAGGAGAGGAGGAATTTGAGGGAAGTGTCCTGATACTGGCCCCGTTGTCCGGCGGAGAGGTGTCTTAGTTTTCGTTCTTCTATATAAATGTTTGTTTAGCCAAAGCAACCTTCATGGACTAAAAACAAGCTCTGTAAAACGCTAAATTCTTCTACAAACATGGAGTCCTTTCCATGCAGCCTAATCCTTGTCGTTGTCTTCATTTCTATTCCTCTTTTATTATTAATCTGCGTCCACAAATCCAATGTTTCTCATCCTAATCTCCCACCGGGTAAGATGGGCTTCCCAATCATCGGAGAGAGCCTTGAATTCCTGTCTGCAGGAAGGAAAGGTTACCCTGAAAAGTTCATTTATGATAGAATAGCCAAGTACTCATCCCAAGTTTTCAAGACTTGTATTCTAGGGCAGCCCACTACAGTCGTTTGTGGGGCGGCAGGCAACAAGTTCTTGTTCTCTAATGAAAACAAGCTTGTTGCCTCATGGTGGCCAGATTCAGTAAACAAGATCTTCCCTTCCTCTACACAAACCTCTTCAAAAGAGGAATCCAAGAAGATGAGGAAGTTGCTACCTAACTTTTTCAAACCTGAATCCTTGCAAAGATATGTAGGAATGATGGACACTATTGCACAAAGACACTTGGAGGATAGTTGGGAAGGCAAACAAGAAGTAACTGTGCTTCCACTAGCTAAGACGTACACCTTTGGGATAGCATGCAAAGTATTCTTGAGCATTGATGATCCAAAACATGCTGCCAAGTTAGCCCATCCTTTCAATGATCTGGCATCTGGGATAATTTCTATTCCCATAGATTTGCCAGGAACATCTTTCAATCGCGGTATCAAGGCCTCAAAGTGGATAAGAAAGGAGCTGGTATCTATCATAAAGCAAAGGAAGGTTGATCTAGCCGAGAATAGAGCTTTGCATACACAAGATATGCTGTCTCACATGCTGTTAACAACTGATGAGGATGGGCAATACATGAAGGAGACAGACATAGCTGACAAAATTCTCGGTTTGTTGATTGGTGGTCATGATACTGCTAGTGCTGTAATCACTTTTATTGTCAAGTATCTTGCTGAGCTTCCTCACATCTACCAGGAGGTTTTAAAGGGTAAGTTTCCCCTCTGGTTAATTACGTTTCTGTCCTTTTCCATTTCATAAACATGATGGGTTTTCATTTTTCACTGAACAGAACAAATGGAGATTGCAAAGTGGAAAAGGCCGAGGGAGCTGCTCAACTGGAATGATATTCAGAAAATGAAGTATTCGTGGAATGTTGCATGTGAAGTACTGAGACTAGCTCCTCCACTTCAGGGTGCTTTTAGGGAGGCCATAAATGACTTCAACTTCGCAGGTTTCCACATACCTAAGGGTTGGAAGGTAGGGCAGTCCACATACCTAAGGGTTGGAAGGTAGGGCAGTTCATGCTACACACACACGCATTTATAGTACTTCAATTTATTGAGAGATGGCCTAAAATCTTTTGTTTTTCATTTGGGGGATTCATTTTGCAGTTATATTGGAGTGCCAGTTCAACACACAGGAATCCTGAATGCTTCCCGGATCCTGAAAAATTTCAGCCGGCAAGATTCGAAGGGACAGGACCAGCACCTTATACTTTTGTGCCATTTGGAGGGGGGCCTAGGATGTGTCCTGGGAAAGAATATGCACGGTTGGAGATACTCGTGTTCATGCATAACTTGGTAAGAAGGTTCAGGTGGGAGAAGCTGATTCCTGATGAGAAGATAATTGTGGATCCCATTCTAATTCCTGCTAAACAACTCCCCATCCGCCTTTTTCACCATCAGAAAAAATATTAACACTATAATAAATTAGCAATTCATTCTTGCCCTGTACAATATTTTACATTACAAGAAGAAATTAGGACTTACTATCCATGCAATCATGCATCTAAAACATTACTCGAAGCGTTAAGCCTGTTTCTTCTTTCTTACATTGGCTATGCAATATTGTATTCGTACTACTGTCTCTGCTCTAAAAGGCCAGGTTCCGACAGGACACTATTGCCTCTTTATAACTTCTTGTGAAGTGTGTGTTAAGATGAAATCCAGAGTCATGTGATTAGCAAAATGCCATGTCAATCCAATCCCCAGTATCAAGTAAACTGATTCAGCAACGCAAGTTATTTGTTTTTCTTTCTCGCGTAAGCTGGAATGCATACCATTATATTTAAACAATCTGATGGCACAAACTTGACTTTTCAAAACAACGACAAATTTTATATATATATATATATATATATATATATATATATATATATATATATATATATATATATATATATATATATATATATATAAAATAGCGACGGGGGATGGAATTTAGCAAAAAGAACATCCGATCAGCCCCCTCACAAAAGCAAGCTGAAAACGCTAACAAAGAAAAAGAAGGGCTGAGAAGCCACGCCAACCATGCAAGCTCAGACAGAAGCCATCCCTGCGACACGAACGAGACGCCTTCGTTCAGCAGCTCCTGCCCATTCCAAGCCGAAAGAATCTTGAAGCACACATAAGCCCCGGCCCAGATGAGAAGGGAGTTGAGCCCATAGGAATAAAACCATGTCCCTACCAAGCCCACACACAGCAGCTGAACAGAAGAAAATGAAAATAAGGTCGCCGAGAGCCGTTCCAAAGAGGAGTAATGTGCATCGATATACAGTGGAATCACCAAATCTTTTCGTTCTGTAATGTAATTGTGAAATGAACACAAGTTAAAAGTTTCAAACTTTACAAAACCAGCAAGTAGAAACATAGATAGGACCACACATCCGTAGCATTTTTCAACGACTAACATCTTAACTGGAACGGTCTGCATGAAAGACGTAATGGTTCAGTAATATAATAATTCAGTCTCTAATTTTAGATACCATAATTTAGCCCCATAATTGTCTTTCACTGTTAATTCATTAAAAGCTTCGTCAACTTCGTAGAAAATGATCAGGTTATCCCTGTGGGGTGGTGTTGGAATCTGATGAGAACCAGGCTGGAAGAAGCAAAGGCAGAGGCAGAGATTTCCAGAAAAGTCAGGGAAGCAGAAACAGCAGCAGGCACGGCAGAATTTCCAGCTGAGTCGGTACAGGAGTCCTGGCGGGATTGGGTTTTCCAGCACCTATAAGTCGGCAATCAGGGGAAGTTTTGTAGCGGGAAGTGGACTGGAAGAAAGTGGAACGACCCTATAAGGAAGAGGAGATAACAAGTACATAAATAAGAGGCATTCTATGTGGCAGAATCACTCCTAAAGTCAGCAACTAGGCAAGCCAGACTTAGGTTCCTGATATGTGTCAACTAGCTTAGAGTAGGATTAGGATTAGCTGGAATTACAGCTATATGAATAGCCAGGGTGTATCTAGCAATGATTCAAGCAATAAAAAAATTATCAAACACTTTTCAGAATTTTCTGAACCTATCTGTCCTAACGGTAGGTAGGAAATGAGAGAGTTTGCCAGGGAATAGGAGGGTTTTCTATGAACCTCAAACTCTAGTAACCATCAAAATCCTCAACACCGAAATGTACTCTTCTTCAAGATCTGCCCAATCATTGTGTGTCTGAATTTGCAAGCTCTTGAATATAAAAGGAGTGACTGCTTTTCAATCTAACATTTCATGTTTTGGTAATGAGGTGAGGGTGGGGCTTAGCTCATTGTTTCGTGCTTCGAACATGTCCTCGTAGCTGCATCAAAATGGAGTGAACGGCTTTCCTTGGAATCCAGCTACCACCAATATGTGGTGTGGTCAGCAGAACCTGAAGCTTGCCAAGCATCAACAGAGGTAGTGATTATTGGAAATTTTGTAGTTTCTTAGTAAGATTTTCACACAAAATATATCAATAATTTTATACTTTTTCTGCAGGAAATCCCTCAAGCTGTTGAATGGATGAACCAGTCAATTCCAAATCATGAAAAATTGGAAGATAAAAGCTACTGAGGAGCATTCCAAAATGTAGACTTGATGAAATCCAAGCACAAAATTTAGGTTTATTTGGTACCCTTTTAGTCGATTAATTTACTATTGGGAGTGATGGTATGCTTCGTTGAGGAAATGCTTGCTCATAATTTTCAAGCATCCAAGTTTCTACCCTACCCGCGTATTAAAGCTTCAAGTCTGGAAAGGAGCAGTGAGAGAATAGAAAGAGGAGTGCTGATATCCCACATCGATGAAGCAGAGTATAATGTTGAGAGCTGCACCTATAAAAAGAAATTGAATGAACGGTTTAAAGCATACCTTTCTCGGCCTTTTGGCTAAGATCAAGTGTAGGATCTGTTCTTATCAGTTTAATATCTGATACGTGGGCCATAGATCCCCACGATATTAAATTAATTTTTTAAAGGGAAGGGTCCATTACAGTAGCTTGCTACTGGGATCCTTAAGCGTCGCCCATGCGTTGCACTACTGCAAGGGCCTGGCGCACCCTCCATTCCCAAATTGAAATGTTTAGCTAGTTAACTACTCTTCAGCTTCTTGTTCGTGACAGTAAAGCCTCTGATGTAAGCTTCATTGGATTCCGATTGTCAATCGGGGATTATTACCTGGATAAATTATTACAAAAACAATACTGTGTTGTCTATGCCAGACGTTGTCATTGAGCATGCATTTGTCGAGCGCATGAGCTCAAAAGGGTGGATGTCGTGCCTGAGATTATGCTCAAATGTTTCCACCGCAAGTTTGGAAAATTGGCGGGGTTGGATTCATTTACGGAAAGACGGTTTGCCCTACAAAGCTTCGCAGCTGCTTAGCAAGAGTTCCAGTAATTGTGCTGCTAAGCCTGCTATGCATATTGTCTCCGAGTCTATACAAGTTCTAGCTTGCCAAGACATTGGCCTCAAAACTTCTAAACATTAATCTTTTTCCTGTACCGCTTAACAGAGTTGCCAAGCTGGTAATTAATTCACAATTTGAAGATGGTGATTTCCCCCAACAGATAACTTTCTGAAACTAATTTAGCCATGTTATTACTTGAATCAAAATTTGAAAAGAACAGTATTGAGGACGAATGCTATCAGCTTATTACGGGTAAACTTTTATGGTCTTAACCTATGATCTTATTCATGACAGGACATCACTGGTGTGTTAGTGAAAAATACCATGTTACATTCTGCAGTGTATAGAAAAATCTTTCCACTGTGAGCTCTTGCAGAATACCAGAGCTATGTTCCATTGCCTTCCAAATAAATCTAAACTCAAAAACAAACAACCCAACTCATCATTGCGAACAAAACTAAGTATGCGAGTCCAGTAGCAGATTTTTATAATAGAAATAAAGGTTTTTGTATAATAATGCTCTTCTATAACATAATGCTGTTGCAGAAAGGTGCACCCTCAACTGTCACAGATGGTGCATGCTCTCTTCTAGTGTTACGATTACAGGTGCTGCTTCTTAATATAAGCAGGACTAGTTCAAATATGGTAATGCCAAAAAAACCTCAAAGAGCCTGCAGTACCTGGCAACGATATTCTCCAAGGGCCCATATAGGGAAAATGTTCCGGTATGCTGAATAGCTGATCATACAATTCTTGTTGAAGACTCCCATGATCTCCTGTGATCAAATAGACAAGTTAGTGGCATGCCAAGAATTAGTAGCTCCTTCCTGTTTGATCATTAAATGAACATATCAAATTGTTCCAATAATGCGGCAATTCAAACCTTTTACTTTTAAAGCTGATATGTTGTTATACCTTCTCTTTTTTTTTTCTTTTTTCTTTTCCCAGGTAATGTTACATCTATGAACTTTAGGTCAAGCAAATTGAACTTTTCTCCCAAATTTTCACCAAAGTATTCAAGTTGTTATAGCAGATGACAATGAAAGACCCTCATGTTACCCAATCAGTTTGTATTATGTTCTACATATATACATTCATTTCTCCTGAAGACAAAATTCAGTTGATTACGCGTAGTTGCATTCACGAGCTACAACCAATTTACAGAAACAGGGATGTTTACCTCTTGAGGAAAATCTCCATTCTCCATTTGAGAGTTTATTAACAACCTTGCAGCGCGGTGCAATGGTATTGGATCCCTCTCAGCCTATTACATGTTAGAAAAAAAAAACAATTATCATGCACCATAACAAATCTCGAACTCATCACGTTCCTCTCATCATGCACCCATAACAAATCTCGAACTCATCACGTTCCTCCCTCTCATCATGCACTTCAAAAACCAACTTTAATCTTGCTAATTGAAATGTTGTTCTTTTTGGTAAAAACCAAGGGTGCTATAGGTAGAGAGGCTTCAGCAACTTTATCTCTAAAATGCAATTTAAAAACAAAACTAATTGGGTAACCACAAGTTTACGAGAAACAAAAAAATTCCCAAATGTACCTGCCCAGCTTCAATGAGTGCTAACATAGCCCATCCAGTGTTGACTATATGTGGTCTGTCATCTTTCAGATTCGTATACACCTGTTTAATAAGAGATAATGAATAAGAAAATCATACTGTCAAGTGATTTTAGAAAAGTTGACATAGGATATGCAGCATGGAAACTATAAGCAGAATTAGCAGATTGGGAAGGCAAAAACTCTGACAAAAGGTGTGATACAAGGCATGCCTAAATTTGAAAATCACAGAAAATATGAAATAGGATTTTTAGTCCAACCTTGTTTTGACATGATAGATAACTCTCTCCCCAACCACCTCCAGCAAGTTCTTTGGACAGCATATAATTACAAGCTTTACGGATACTGCTGGAGCTATTATATGTCATGCCAGCTGCCACCAAGCCCTTTATCCCAAACCACCCAGCATAGGTGAAGCAGACTCCCCAGGATCCATACCTGTTAAGAACATCCAGAGAACTTGCCATTGAATGAAGCAATTGATGTAATGAAAGTATACAAAATATGGGCACAAACCAACCAGGAACCATCTGTCGCTTGAATCTTTTCAATGAAGTTTGCAGCTTCTGCAATGCAATTATCTATTTCTTCCCTCCTATGACCAGGATACAATTTCTTGAATGATGCTAGTGCTTGGATTGCCGCTGATGTGCATTCTACATATCTATGTGGACATTTCAGTCAACATCACAAATTAGAAATCCACAAAATTAATGAAATTCTAATGCATAAACATGAAATTGAAGTGTGCTGGAACCTCACGGGTAATCAATGACAATGTCACCAAAAGTTTCTGCAGGATTGATTAACTGAAACAGAACAAAAATATTAAATAAATCCAGTAGTAAACACAGCATCATCAATATAAACTGATGCGTGAGTCATTAAGCTTAGATTTAAATGGAACCACGCTAGTAGTCAGGGTAATGTTATAAACAAGGATTAAGAAAAAGCAAATGGCTCAGGATATGCATTAATTCACACTCAACTTTATGCTAAATAAGTTGTAAGAATAGTTGAAAGAATATGTGAAGAGACAGTTTTAACGAGGAAAAGAAATCATCATGCATAATCTACAAAATACTCAACAATTAAGGCTTATTTAAGATGGTTGGATTCTCTCGCAGCATTGACCTTCCTATGAAGTTAGCCCAACCAACAAAACACTCAAATATATAGTTTCTCACTCGCAGAACTAAGAATTCCTTAAAAGACCTCCTTCAGCAAGGAGAGCAGCCATTGACCACCAGTTCTGCAAATCTTAAGTCCTTAATATTAAAATTTTCCATGGGAATATTTGCATTTTCTCAGGAGGAATTCATAATGTCAGAGTGAATTCAAATGAAAGGCTTGATCACTTAAGGAAGTTACCTCCAACCACTGGTACGATCTTGTCAATTCATATGTTGCAAAACCACCATCAGCATTCTGCAGCAGTGTCCAAAATTATCACACATTTCCTATCAGTAGAGTACTCCTGAATGCATAATATGGGAATTCCTATTCTGAACTAACTTTCAGATGCAAGATCAGATTGAAAAATATTGAATGATTTCACTGTGGGGGAATCTAAACTTGGAGCTAACAGAGATTCTCATTAACTCCAACTTTGTATCATGAGCTTGCTTATGGTTCATATACTTGGTCATGAGCAAACACTTCTAACCCAGGCATTTATGAAGCAATCTATTATGATAACCCTACTATTCTACTATAATTTAAGGTCATGCTTTCACTAAATCAAATGTTATGGTATGCCTTTGGTACCTTATCAACCTGCATCATTCCCTATTTTTCTCCTTGCATGCAGCACCATTAACCAATAGAATTGCACTAACATATTACATATAATAAATGTAATCTTGCATCCTTATGTGATAATGCTTTAATCCCACTCTTGTGCTAGATCCAACATCTGTGTCAATGCAGCAACTAGGACTTAAATACCTGTAAAGAAAGGATTACATTTACAGCATCACGGAGCCTCTCCACACCTAAGGGATCCCCAACCATTTCAGTTGGAAGTTTTGATAGTAGTAAAACAGCCTGTACAGGTAGATAAATATCAACAAGACACATATGAGACAAGAATATGAACTTCTACAGTTTCATTCACGTTTTTACCTTCAATCCTTCTGCAGTGCAGTCAGAGATGGGCCACCCGTGATCTGCAGTTGAAAATGGCCAAGCTCCTTTAGAGATGTGGCGATACCAAAAATTTAAATCTCCAGGACAATCTTCTAGGACCTTCAAACAAAGTATAGCTGGTTGAGCAAGGAGGGCTAGCATTGGTGAATTATGGTAGAGCTATATCTACAATTGAGAACCTGTGAATCTTTAAGGTACTTGTGTGCTTTTCTCAAGGTTGCACTATATTCTTCAGCAAGGTTGGTAGAGACAATTGCTTGAACAGCAAAAGCAGTATCCCACAACTGACTTCCATTATATCCCTGCAAATTCAGTACAATTTCACCAGCTAATACAATACATATGTATCCAACTCAAGTGTCCCCTCATCAGTAACACCCATCAAGGATGAACCATCTTTTCTAAGCAAAAATAGGAGGAGAAAAGAAGAAAACGGATCTGAAGTAGAAGGAGACTCTATAAATAGTTAAGGAGAGGGTAATGCTTTTTTTTTTTTTACCTGCATTTTCATTCCATCTTCAGCAATCCACAAATAGTCTAATACTCTTGGCAGATGCAATTTAAATGCCTCTGAGTGTGGATCTTCTACCCAACAACAAAGCATATTCAATACCTGATACATACAAGCAGTCATATAACTGAACACAACAAGCTAAGGCCCAAGCGCATTGGCAGAATTATATTGGATCTTATTCTTAACAGATACTGCACTGGAGCGCTAAAGCTGTACGTTTCCTCTGCATTTTCTTCTTATTTAACAGAAAAAAGAGCATCATCAAAATCATCAATCTGTACCTTGTTGACCGGACCTATGCATATGTACCGTGTATTTTCATCTTCATAGTGGATATGCTGCATCACTTTGTGCAAAGCCTTCTCTCTCAACCTATTAAGAGGCCAGCGTGTAAGTATAGGCTCATATGCATAGTGAAGAGAAGCCCACAGAATATCCTGAACCAAAGGATGAGGGTAGTATAGATCTTCCTGCCAAATTTTGAAATAAATAAATAAAAGGTCCAGAATCAACATCAAAAAAAATTTCCTGTAAGGTATTTAGAGTACAAGTTTGGCAAGAAAACAAAAAGGATCTCTAACCAACCTTTGCACATGTATTACGAGCTGTATTCCAATCTACTTCATGATATGGAACAATGTAGATCTCCTTTCTCAAAGATTGAATTGTGGGTGTTATAGGACCAACAAACCTCTTCCCATATAGATAAGACATTGGTAAATACACCATACGACAGTGGCACCACATCCTTCCTATGAATATAAAACTTCAAGGTTGCTCACAAAAAGCAAAAGCCTATTGATATTTGACAGAACTACATCACAATAAAGTTAAAATGAAAGGTTGTATAACGTTTGAACTATATTAACAATGAGGTAAATTGCAGGGAAGCCCCCAGCAAGTACACGGAGATAGAGAACATTCTGTTAACAGAACGAAAGCAAGAGATAACATAGCTAAATAAAGAAAACCAAATTATCAAAAGTTTAGCTCATTCAAAAAGCAAAACCAAGCAAAACAGCTAGAAATCTATGAGAAGAAACATGTAATGCTCCAAGTGTGAAAAAAGAAGGTAACTAATAGTCTAACTGCACGAGAAATTAGTAACCATCTCTAACATAACATGTGTGTTTGGTCAGACACAAGCAATTTTAGTTTCCTTTTCTATTATTTGTTTTTTAGTTAATCAGACTATTGTCCACTTACTTGGTGCTTGGGAATGCGGTAGCTTTTTGTTTTTCAGTACGTTTCAAAAGTGCATTTCACATGAAAAAGTATTAAATTAATGTTTTTTAGTGCTTTTTGATGGTTTTGATTTATAGATGTCAAAAATAAATAAAAAATTGATAAAAATCGTTTCAATGCATTTTCAAGCAAAAAGCACAAAAACACATTGCACCACAA